TTCTGTTGACATTGTTTTCACAACTGGAATGGACAAAATTAGTATTGGAAGACCCACAAAGATTGCAATTGTGGATCATAAGAAGAAAATAACGTTTGTGCTTTGCAAAGATGAACTCCTGATATTGTGGTGTGGAAACAATGGGAGAAAAATCGAAGGCAGTGGCTAATTTTGCAGATGATGAAGAATGCAAGCCCATGTTTCCAGGCGGCTGCTTATTTTTTTTTAGGCGACTGCTTATTTAAAAAAATTTATTTATTTGTAGAGTATTAATTTAGAAAAATTTTACTATATTGCCAAGAAAAAATGAGAGAGGTAGTCTGGGCATCTGCTCGGGCCAAGCATTTAGTGTGTATTGATAATCAAAAGAGGCCGAAAATGAAAGCAAAGAGTGGTGTAGTTATTGTGAATTGAGTACTATTTCATTGAGTATTGTTATTATTTAGTTCGATTTTCACAATATTTTTTTTTATTTAGTTCGATTTTGACAATATCTAAACTACAAGATTATGTGAATCAATTTTATTTATTTAAATATGAAGGCAGTTAACTCAATTCAAAAAAATTTCATTTAATATCAGATAAAAAAATATTTTAACAATTATTTTTTAAAAATCATTGTAAGTGCGTTTAAACTGATTCTGACGTTGAATCTCTTTATTAAACAATAATAATTTTTCATCACATACTCTTTTCTGTTTCAAAATGATGGTTACAATTCATAATTTTTTTCTCTTATATGATTGTTTATAATGCGAAACATTAATGTGAGCTACAGGTTTTTCTAAAGTCGCGTAACTTCTAGGTTCTTTCTTGAACTTTTTCTTCATATTTTTCACCACATCTTCCATGAAAATGCTTAAAAAACGAGAAGACAAAAAAGGTACGCATCAAGTCACATGCCTAGAAGCGCACTGTAAATTCAAACAACAACAACAAGTCAGTACCTAATATTCTACTTATAGCCAGCTTAATCAATTATACAATGAACACGAACGTTCAAATCCGGAATCTTTTTATTCATTTTGAAGTTTGTACGAATCTTTTACTTGGTCGAGAGGCTAGGAAGTTCTGAATGATGATTCATTCAATGCATTTATAACGTTTGGCATCCACGAGGAATATGTACGAGAATCTCCCAATCTGGTGAAGATGATGAGTAGGCAAAGAAAGAATATTAAAGGTAACTCCACTCTCCGCATATAAAAGTTTGAACCGTTCTCACCATTAATCTGGAGGGTTCTAAAGGTACGCATGATCATCTGTGTCGAGTCATCGAATTTGTACAAAACCGTGAATGTATGATGTTGAAGTTGGAAAGTGACCAATGTAGTTCATGAATGATGTTGGTGAGCTATGTGTTCAAAATTATTGTCTTGACTAATTTCTTTCGAATTGGATATGTATATATCTCATGTTGAAAAATCTTCTTGGTTTCATGATGTTTGAAAGGAAACAAATTTGTATCCTTTCTGTTTTAAAAATAATGATCTATTTCACATTTTCATTGTTACTAATACAATTTGTCGTAAAATTCAAAATTAGACAATGGTTTCGAGGAGGGAAAAAAAATGAGAAACTTGAAAGTTATACAAAATTTCCCGTTTTATTTTAACAAAAAGAAAAGTTACTACATAAAATAATATAAAGGAAAATTAACAAAAAATTTAAAAGAAGAATTAGAACCATCGCATGGCGGAACCTGACCATCTGCAATCAGTATCAATATTCATTATGACAATAATAAATAGTATCCCTCGTAAATTAGTGGATTGTCATGTAATAATTTGACCTTTAAACACAGGTATTCAACTAGCTAAGTACTTGGTAGTTGAATCATTGAACCTATACCGCATCATGCTATTTTCATTAGAGATGTTCAACCCTTTAATCATCACACACACGTTTACATTCCACTATGGTACTATAAAGTAGTACATTAGTTACTCTATGATATTTCTTACTAATAACATTACAATTGTTGTATTTCACTTCGCCCGTATTTATTACTCTCTCTATCCTAAAATTTTTGTCCAGTTCGTTATTTTACTTTTAATACAATTTGAACTAAAAATGAAAATTTAAACTGAACAATAATTTTGGATGGACGAAATATATGTACTTGTACATTTCATAGTAGATCAAAAAAGAAATACGTGGAGCTCTCGTGGTTTTTTAGTAGGAAAATTAAAACACACATTCTAAGCCTTTTAAGTTAAATCAATTCGGAACATCGCTAATGTAACATATTCGATGCCATTTATAAATCATCGGTAGATAATTCAACTAATTAATTGTTATTTTTTACATTTTCTTGGTGCACACATCACGAGAAATCGATCCACATCACACCAACTCACCAAGATGACTAATCCTTATTGGATTAAGATGTGGTCTTTTTCTCAAGAGTAGAAGTAAGTTTCTGAACAATTCTTTGTTCATGTGTGTGTATATAAGCTTGACTTCGCAACCTATATGTATATATCCAACGAAATGATAAGCTTTCGTACAACTTGAACCCAACAATTATTGGTTTCTTTTAATGAATAGTAGCCGTTGAGTTGAAGTCGGGAAGTGGCCATAGCAGCTCGTGAAAAGACTCTCATTGACGAAAACGTCGAAAACGACTAATTTTTTGTACCAACAAAGTAGCTGCCGAAAGAAGAAGAGAAAGGGAATTTGGGAAAAAATTTGCGTGGTGGGGGAAATACAGCTAAGATACACTTCACACACACACACACACACACACACACACATTGAGATCAAAATGCAACAACACACACACAACCCCAATCAGTGCGTGTGTGGAAGCAAGCAACTGGGGTCTCCACTGTCCCGTAAAGATGGCAGTAAAAACAATTATTATTCTTTTTCCACAAAAGACCCACAAAACATTCAAGCGAATCTTATCACCATTATTACTATATTATTATTCGTCTTTTTCTTTTTTTTTTTTCTCAAAAAAATGGCAGGATTAGGAGGTCCACTCACCCCTCCTATCTAGGCAAAACCCAACCCAACCCCCAACTTGCCCCCATTTCCAAATCTTGTTTTTGTCTTTTTGGCCATTATTTCCCAATTATTGCAAATCCTAAATCTCGTACTCCCTTCGTCCCATAATTATTGTCCAGTTTGAATTTTCATTTTTAGTTCAACCTCCCTTTTCTCAATTATTGCAAATCCTAAACCTCGACTCTCTCTGTCCCATAATTATTGTCCAGTTTAAATTTTCATTTTTAGTTCAATAATTATTGTCCAGTTTTAATTTTGATTTTTAGTTCAAAATTGAACTAAAAATAAAAATTCAAACTGGACAATAATTATAGGACGGAGGGAGTATCTTTTTCTAAACTAGTATAAAAATAATTCCACTACTTTTCTTATACCCCTCTTAACTCTTTTTATAATTGGACGTTTAAAAATTCTAGATACAGATTCATGGACTCGATTGGCGAGTTTAGCTTTTCACTCTCAAATGGTTGTTAGAATTAAGGAAATGTTAATACATACATCGCATTTGAATTGACAGTTGTGATGAGGATGTATACAACTTTTTTTTTTTAAAAAAAAGAATCAATACATTTAAAATTGTAGTAAAACAACGGATAAAAGTAAATAGAAAAGCAAAAGCTTTCTGGTAACGTTAGGGAGGAAGTATAAGATGAATATGTAATTAACTTGTTTGAGGGAATTTTTCTTTTTATAAATCTTCAAGATATATATAGATAAATTAAAAAAAATGAAGAAGAAGAATGGAATCCGTTTTTTTAAACATCTGATTGAAAAGAAAGAAAGAAAAAAAAAAGTAGAGAAAAGAATCCATTTTTTCAATAAATTTGGAAAAGGACACAAAGATCCATGATTTCCTCAAAAAAAAAAAAGAAAAGAAAATCCCATGAGTTCATCTTTGAATTTTCATTGCCTTGTGGTGGAAATCATAGTTGCTATACAATGAAATTTTATGCATAATACTAAAATTCATGAGTGTGTGTCACACGTTTTATTATAATAAAGGGGGATTTTTTTTTAATTTAAAAATGTTTTCTTAATATTGGTAATATCTGAAACCGCATCGTGAATGGATAAAATAAAACTATGCTGTATTATTTAACTTTGGTTTTCCTTTTCTTTGTCCCAAAGCTAACGAGTAGCTATTGTTCATTGTACATAACCACAGAAGTACATTTCCTCCTTCTTTGAAAGACGTTTTTTTTTTTTTGGAAAAAGTCAATTATAATTTGTTGCCACACCACATATATTTTCAGAAGGAAGTGGTCCTATTAGTTTAATATATCCTACTAATTCTGATAAATCTATTATTTTCTCAATGCATTGAAATTATATGTTGATAGTTTTTATTCTTTGTGAGAATGTAAAATGGTGTTAATTTGCAGCAAAAGAGCTTGTTATATACTATAGTTTTTATTTATTTATTTTTCTGACAGATATTCACTAAAAAGTTTATTAGAACCCATCTCCTTACATTTTAAAGAGGTGACTACTCCTCTTATCCGGATCTTCAATATTCTGAATTTAAAAAACAACAAGATTACAAGAATATTTGGGGGAATGAATGAGAAAATAGAATAACCAAACAAAAAAAGAAAAAGAATAAAATCAAATTCTCATCACAAAAGAAAAGCAAAAACGCAAAACAAGATCCTCATTGCTCCACATCCACACTGAAAACATGATTTGATAAAAATGATTTATTTCATGCCACAGCTACAATATCTAACAAAATAAACAATAATTAAATTGTTACTAAAAAATGTTTATTGCTACTAGTACATGATTATTATAGTGCATAACTAATTGTGATTAAGCAAAAAAAAAGTTAATAATAAAAGAAAATTAAGAGTTTTAATTAAGAACCATCCACACAAATTTTACAAAAGGATAAAAGTGTCTTTCCAGCTGGTTTAGGTGAGTCATGACCACGAAAGCGCCTTTGGCCGCACTATAAATAGAGCCTTATTGCCCCATCTCCCAAAACGCTCACGATACCGCAGTCGAGAAAAATTCCTTCAAAACGCAATCAAAACCGTAATCTTCGGTCGACTTAATATTCATCGTTCTTATCTCTCTCTCTCTCATTCGGAAGTTTGCAAGGGTTTTCTTTCCGGCCGCCGCATCCTTCGTAAGTCCGTATTCAAATCCGATTGAATCCTTTTGTTCCATTCTGATTTCTTTTCCGTTATGGATGAACGCGTATTAACCCTGTTGTGTTTATATGGTTTGTAGGTTTGTTGAATTTATTTTGAGGATCTATTTTTGGGGAGTTGAAACATAACGCACCGGTCATACGATTCGTTCTATATTTCAAGAAGAATTTAATTTGTGAGTAATGGTTCATTAATTCTGCTGGTTTTCGTATCGTTTTGCTTTGTTTCCGTTTTGCGTGTCTAGCTGGTTTGAATGTCTGGATCTGTTGTACCTTATTATTCTTAGGAAATTATCTTGAAGAGGGTTTGGTTTTGTTTTTTTCTGTTTAATGGGTGTATGGTTTGGTTTGAAGGGTTTATATACGGTTGATGCCATTGAGATTTTGTATTTTGCTTTCATTCTTCTTTCGGATTTCTGGGGGAAGGTTTATTTATCTACTTTATGTTTGCGAAAGATGTAATCTATTGTGATGATAAAGTTTTGATTTCTATGCTTAATTCAATAGACTTTTGTTTTTTTGTGTAAATTAATTTTGTTGAGGGAATAAATTTCAATGGTGTATTTTGTAAAATCTCATTTATTATTTGCAAATAATTTTGGATGTTCAGGATGGTTTGATTTGGTTTAATTATTTTTTGTCTCAAGAAACATTGATATTTTTGTTCCTTTTCATTTTTAATTCAAAGGCGGTGGAAATTTTGCTGTGTTTTTTGTCGTAAATTTCCATTGTACATTCAAATATTGGCATGATAAGTAAAATTGGTTTATACAAGCTTTCAACTGTTTGTGATGGTAGGTTTTTGCGGTAGTGACAAATTTGTTGTTCTGATGATATCAATGCTGTCTTTGAGAATATCAACATGACTATCATAATTTTGATTTAGTATTTCCACACTGAGTTGTCCCTTTTGTTGTTGCGAATTGACTTTTTTGAGGTTGTGGTTGCAACTTTTTCGTTGCTCTTCCCTGCTGTTTACTGTATTTGTTTGCTTCTTGTTGCAAGTTTGTACTCTTACCTTACCATGTTCCATTGTTGATGATCTGTGCAGGTATTGAATGTTCTAATGGAGTCTAAAGGTGGGAAAAAGAAGTCTAGTAGTAGTAAGTCCTTATTCTACGAAGCTCCCCTCGGATACAGCATTGAAGACGTTCGACCAAACGGAGGAATCAAGAAATTCAGATCTGCTGCATACTCCAACGTATGTATATATTCGCAATTTCCATATGATTATTTTTATTTGGTGTTCGTATTGGGTATCACTTAGCATAATGTGTGATTGACACATTTTCTTTTTGTATGCAGTGCGCTCGCAAGCCATCCTGATACCCCTAAATAGGTTTCCGGATCACGTCTCTGGACGTAATAATAAGCGTGACAAAACTGTCAATTTTTATTTTTGTAGATTTTAGTTTTGCCCCCTGCTCCTTTTCTTCGGTCTTTCTTCTACTCCTGTGTGTCTTGTGGTTATCACCACCTCTGCAACGGAAATGGCTTTGCCAGTCTCTGCGATTGGTTTCGAAGGTTACGAGAAAAGGCTTGAAATTTCCTTTTTCGAGCCAAGCTTCTTTTCTGATCCTGAGGGTCGCGGCCTTAGGGTTCTTACCAAAGCACAACTGGATGAGTTCCTCCAACCAGCTGAATGCACCATCGTTTCATCATTGTCAAACAAGAATTTTGACTCTTACGTCCTTTCTGAATCAAGCCTCTTCATCTATCCATACAAGTTGATCATCAAAACTTGTGGAACAACTAAGCTGCTTCTGTCAATCCCTGCCATCCTGAAGTTGGCAGAGTCGGTTTCTCTCTCTGTACGGGAAGTGATATACACACGTGGCAGTTTTATTTTCCCTGGGGCTCAATCATTTCCCCATCGCAGCTTCTCTGAGGAAGTTGCCACCCTTGATGGTTATTTTGGAAAGCTTGGTTCAGGCAGCAAGGCTTATGTGATGGGCAGTTCTGATGATGGTAAGAAATGGCATGTTTATAGTGCCTCTGCTGGGTCAGCGCAATCCGCTGAACCTGTCTCCACACTGGAGATGTGTATGACTGGCTTGGACAAGGACAAGGCTTCTGTCTTTTACAAGAGCGAATCTTCTTCTGCGGCTCTGATGACTGTGAATTCTGGGATACGTAAGATACTCCCTGAGTCTGAGATATGTGATTTTGAGTTTGATCCTTGTGGTTATTCAATGAATTCTATTGACGGGTCTGCACTGTCGACCATCCATGTTACACCTGAAGATGGTTTTAGCTATGCAAGCTTTGAAGCTGCTGGATATGATCTTAAAGCACTGAATCTGGGCATGCTGATTGAAAGGGTGTTGGCTTGCTTCTTGCCATCTGAGTTTTCTATTGCCGTTCATGCGGATGTTGCCTCTGTACCTGTGGAGCTTACACGCGCCTTGGATCTGAAAGGGTATTCTCTTGGCGAGGATTGTTATGAAGAGCTGGGACTAGGTGGTTCTGTTGTGTACCAGAAGTTTGTTCGTACTGGGTCTTGTGCTTCACCCAGGTCAATTCTGAAATGCTGCTGGAGTGATGAATCTGAAGAAGAAAGGGAGTAGCATTGGGGTTTTTTCTTAGTTTTTTTTTTTTTCTTTTTAAGCTCCTATCATATCATTTGATGAGCAATATCTTTGCTGTAAAATAAAAAGCATATGTCCTTATCATGCTTGGCATATGTGGTAAGACTTGTTTTCTTGTGTGTTTTTTTTCTTTCCGAGTTTCAACTGGTCTTGGCATTTTTGAGGCCTTACATATTACTATTTCGGCATCATTTCTGTTTAAGCTATTATTATGAAGTTTATGAACCAGTTTTTATCTTATTAATCTTGGTGTTGCTGAATGTCCTTAGTTTTTCCTGGCATGTGTATTTAATGTTGTTTCCTCGATAAGCAATCCAAGATTCTGGTAATACCCAAGTTTTAAGAAAATAATGTTGTGTAGTCTTACAAATTTATAAATTATACAATGTGGGATAATAGTAATGAGTGTTCAATTAGAAGTCATATTCAATTGGAAGTCAAAATGAAGGAACGTGGAATGGGCTGATGAGGTTATTGGGGCAGGCATTAGTGGAGGAGGTTAAAGGTGTTTGCTTCTTTAAATTTCCTGGGATAGTGGAGAATAAAAAGAAAGTGATTGCTTCTTTAATGTAGTCGGCAAACAACAAAAATTAGGATGTCAAAATCGAATGACTCAAGATCTCATTCAAAACCCGCAATTTTTGACGTAGAAGTTATGTTGACGAGGGGCTGCTTCCTACAAGGATCCTCTGCAGCCATCAGTTTAAGTTGATGTCTGTCTTTTGATTAAGACTTTGATAGAATCTAATTTTTGACTAATTAACATCAATCTAATTATTCCTTGTTCACCACTGGATAACAACAACAAATTCTCCATCTCCAAAACTCTGGTTCTTTCATCTCTGAGAAATTCAATATGGGCCTTCTCCTCTCTCCAACAAAGGCTTAACTTAGGCCCAAAAAGAGTACGAACTGGCCTAGATTTATTTGACAATTATAAAAAAATCTTACAAAGAAATCCAGAAAACGACAAGTGACTGTAGTTTAGTGGTTAGAATTCTACGTTGTGGCCGTAGAGACCTGGGCTCGAATCCCAGCAGTCACAAGTTCCTTCTGTTGTTTTTTTTTAATTTTTTGCCCCTGCTGTTGGTATTGCATAAATTCGTAGCGACTAGTTATGGTACATGTCGGAACTTCATTTCTAACTCTTTCTAGGACGTTTGTAAGCTCCGATCGTTCGTCCAAAACTGTATTCGGTGTTTTATGAAAGTTGCATTTCGTCGGTGACTCAGAAAGAATGAAAGTAGCCAAGATCGACATCTATGTAATGTTAGCATCGGTACTTTGCGGAAAGAAAAGAGTTCATGGAGGAGGTCCAGTACTGCTTTTTTTACTTTCACTAAAGCAGGCAGGCAATCATAATACATCTTTCTGTTCCCAGTTCCCCTTTTTTTTTTTTAATTTTAAATTTGTTTTAAGCTCAATTATATGGTCTATTTTGTAGTAATTCTGCTTTCATTTTGAACCTATCTAGGAGGGAAAATAGTACTATAATAAGGTCATACTACATGCCCAATCAAATCATATTTGTTTTTTTCGAGCACAAGTTGATACCCCTCCGTCCAAAAAAAATAATCCACATGAGTTTTGAGTTTTGTACTGTTTTTAGTACAAATTTGAAAACTTAATGTGAATTATTTTTTTGTGACGGAAGTATTATTATTCTGTGAAATAAAAACTGAGAGCAAACTCCGGCTTAAATTAGGGCTATTGTGGCCACTAAAATCCAATTAGGATGGAATCATAATATTGTTCATCAGAAAGGTCAGTCTCCAACACAAGAATAACAGTACGTATTATAAAAAATTCCCAATGCAATTGGTAGAACTGTGAATGGAGTCCAGCCCTTAGTGCGATAAGATGTCATTAATTAGTAGTACTTACTACAAAGATTTGATTTTTTTTTATTGGATTTGTTAGGCGCATTTTGTTTGTCTATATATAAACCGCCAGTCTTCTCTTCTTTTTCCCATATATATAGGTCCTAGAAAAAAACTAAACACGATTATTGAATTTTTTTTTCATAACATATTCTTTTTTTTTTTTTTCTTTGTGTTTGTTTGCATCTATTATATATTGAGCTTAAGTGCTTAACCCATTTGATATAGTTTGATAAGTACTTCATCCGTCGTATTTTTATTTAGGTCAATTTTATTAAACTGAAATAGTTTTGACAATATTTGACGGGAGGCTTAAGTAGTGACAAATGGGCAAACTAACGTTTAAAGTTGTGTTTGGATAACAGGAAAGTTTGCAGTAGGTGAAGTCTCCACATCATCTATAAACCTCAATCAAGTATCAATCCATGATATATTGAGATTACGCGAGAAAACAAATTACCGGATTCCAAACAAATTTTTGATGGATTTGGAATTTCATTTGGCCCCTGATTTTCTTGTATTATATGCACATAGTTTCATTCAGATAATTCCATATACAAGTAACAGAACCAAATGATGAGGGTTGAAATGGAGTACAACAATCAAGAAATGTTATAAATAAGTATATTTAACGCCATAGACTAATCCATATTCCATTGAGGAAGATAATTTCTGAGCCAAATTAATGTCTCCTAAGAGCTATTTATTCGTCTTCTTACGCTCTCTCGAGACTTGTTTAAAAGAATACGAGTTTCTTATCACTTACTTTCTATCACACGTGTGAAACAGAAATGACTGGATACACGTACAAATGGAAGTATATGCAGGCACCATCTTTTCATCACTACTTTATTTGGTGGTAGCAAGGAATTTTATTTGTAAAGATGATATGAGCTCTATATCAAAAAGGGAATAAAAAGTACTGGTTGTGAGGAACTGGGAATCCAATGTCTTTCAGCTCTTCAAAACCATTTGTGAAAAAAAAAAAAAGGGAATAAATTCTTTTCTTAATTAGCTTTTCTACTTGTAGCTTATGATCTCTTGGAAGGGCCAAGAAGCCATATTTATCAGGTATTGGAATATAAAGATGCTGAATTTTCGCTAATAAAAAGCAACTGATAACAAATGATTGATATATTTTTCCTTCTTGTTGTTAGTTGTTACCTTGACCATATCTTCCTCAGAACTAAAATCATATCTAAATCCATGAGCGGACATTAACAAATCATACACTTATTCTGTCCCAAAATTATTGTTCAGTTTGAATTTTATTCATTTTTAGTTCAATTAACAAGAGTAGTTAATTTCTCATTAACAATTTAACAAACCTCTACATTATACTCAACAACTGACTCCATTTTAATGTAAGATGAGGACACAATAATGTCCTTGCAAGGTTACCAACTCCTGCTTCCAGATTTTTCATTTTTTATTTGTTTTGGTTTTGTTTTTTTTTTTCTTGAAGAAAGATGAAATACGAACCTCGCTATTGAAGCTTATCTCAGCCATCCGCACAGTCGAAAACATGAATTGGTCAGATTGATACAGTTCTCTTCATCAGCAACAACAATTGGAGGACCCAGCCGGGCCGCCGGGGCGTTTGATTTCTATGTTAATGGTTAAAATTTCAGTATTTACATGTCCTTGTCTAGAGACTTGGATTTGTCTTCTATTTCGTTCGTATCAAGATAAAAGGTCTTGTTTAGTAAAACAAAGCAGCATAACAAAGACAAAATTTTATTTTCGAACAGAAAGCGTAACGTGCCTTACCGATAGTATTAAGTTAAGCTATTAATTACAGTTGAAATAGATTTTCTATAAGGGTTCTTCAGCCTTCTTATTTATAACCACAATTTAAGAGGGAAAAAATAAATAAATAACAGGGGAAGTGAAAAAAAACGGGGCAATGATTTTGTAGTGATTTTGGTTAATTGCCACAGAATTAATTAACTGCAAACTCCGCATTCGATTGATTAGGGGAAAACCGACAAATTTTCCTATTCCATAATTTGACTACTTTTTGGTCCGGAAAGGGAAAGCTCCAAAGACTAAAGTGAAAAATGGAAGATTTCAATTTAACATAACTCACTCCCAGTGATTGACAGGACGGACATTTTGTTAATTGAGAAACAAATGGAAGAAGAAAAGATTTTCATCATTGATTCAAATGGGATCATCACTTGGCTTTGGCTCCACCTAATTGGATTCTTTGAAATGGAGAGAAAGCACCAAAACAATCCTATCTCCTATAGTGAAACGAATTTTGCAGCAAATTACCTATCTATAATTTTGTTAGCAACAAAAGATTGATTTTCTGACGAGATGAAATTTTCGAATTATTATAAATGTTATCAGGGTTTCATATTGTTATGATTAATATTTTGTTATTAGGTTATTATTTTCCCTCAACATGCACAAAAGAGAGTTAAAAAATAAAATAAAATAAATTCATATGGTTTAAAGTATCAAATATTCCACCAATGTGTGATCAATTACCTCTATAGTGAATGTATCATGGGCGGTTGGGAGGAGTAACTTTAAACCTATGTGAATAGGAAGGTGGTGATTGAGCTAAAATGATGATGATGATGATCAACCAAACAAGATTCAACCGACCCGAACAAGAACAGCATTATAAGCAATCGAACCTAAACGAATGTTTGAACAAGGTCAACGCCATGATTATGTCCGTCCACAATGCACGTGTAAATAACTAAGTACAGATACACACACTCAAGAGTCAAGCCTACTGGTGTTTGCATGAAGTCCTGAACTATGATTTTCATCGACCCTACACATTTTCATTTCTTGTGTAGTTATTTGTTTGTTTGAAGCACCTGGAAACTAGGATTCTCAATCAAATGGCATATTGCAGTTCTGAATACACTTTGCTCCTATGTAGATGATGATGATGATATTCCTGCCTAATCCATTCTATTTGGCCCCCCTTTCTCCCATGCAACCAAAATTTTCAACGTTTCTGTTTTCCAGAGGGAGGTGGGGGTGAAAAAAAGGAAAAAAGAAGAAGAAAAAGAGGAGTTAAAAAAAGAAAACAAACACAGATGGACAGGGCAGCTTTTGCTTTTTTTGAAGTGGTGCTTCCAATGGGTATGGATTGGTTGGACCATTTGTTTGACCATCAAGAAAAAAAGGGGTGAGTTCTTGTTACATCTCCTCCCTTGAGGATAGGATAAATTTGGAATTAGTACCTTAGAAGTTTTAAATTACAATCAACTCCCTTGCCAAATGGAATGATCAACGATGACAATGTTCGAAATGATAAATACGATACATGTATAATGTAGTTTAAACTTAAAAACTAACAAAGTTTAGGTTTGGTAACATATATATACTCTTCTCGTCCGAAAATTATTGTCCGATTTTGATTTTCATTTTTAGTACAAATTGAAATAAAATTAAAAATCAAACTGAACAATAATTTTGGAACAGAAGAATTAACTTAATATAACTATTCATTGTGAACGATTTGTTGGCGATCAAAATTGCATGGATTTTGTGACAATCACTTAGCATATATTATAGACTTAAAATTTTGGCGGATCAAAAAGAGTAATAATTATGAAGCTTTTGAAATTGAGGATTAATTTGTAAATTTATAAAATGTTTAGGAGGGTTATGATAATTAACCAAAAAAGAGGGAAACATATGGGGATGGCATTTGGTATCAATAAAGGCGAAAAAAAAACCCAAAACTCAAATATACAATTATCAAAGAAAGAAAGAAAAAAAAAAAGTGGAACATAATTCATTCTATAAAGATCTCACGAGGACTCATTACATCACCAATCTCAACGAGCCACTTCTCGAGATTCTCACCTTTTGAGTGCAATTAGTAGTGGTGGTGGTTTCATCATTGGAACCAAAATAGAACACAATTTTGAGATGACCATGTTTGTAATGAATATGGAAATCTTTATCAACTAATAATAGACTAGTAACAAATTACGAAAGACCTCCCTCAATTATTATCAAGTTGCAATATTGCCTCCTAAATTTACTTATTTAACACGACAATATTAGCTTCATATAATAGCATTTCATTGCCAATGTTTTTTTTTTAGTTATCGTCATCACCAACACTAAAAATGAGCAAATCTAAACATAGAAAGAAATGCCTCAGTAAAAAGCCATGGACTTGCGATGAGGTTTGGGTATGAAATATTACTGTAAAAAATAAGAAGATAGTTTAGGGTCGAATATTGCAATTTCCTCCGAACTAATTAGATCATACAGTTCGTATTGTGTCATTTTCAAGTCCGAGAATTTCTGGCTTCTTTTGGATTATAAGTGGATTTGATGCACGTTCTTTTGTTTCTCCAAACATCAAACATTCTCATATGGTTCCAATTAATTATAGGCCAATGGACTAATCCAAATGCAAACCTAGGCTACATAATATAACTCAAAAGTGGAAGTGGTTATTACTTTTTATAGAGGAATTTAAGAAAGTGAATTAAAACGTATTTTATTTTTGTATTCTTTTTTTTTTTTTGAAATTTCATTTTTGTCTATTGGTGACATTGGCCTGATCTAAAGTGATCTATGTACGAGGATAATAACATTTGTCGTGTGCTTTGTGTTCACATAATTGAGATACTAATTAAAAAAAATCTGCTTCCTTCGTCTTTATATTATGTCCAGTTTAAATTTATAATTTTAGTTTAAATTGTAGCAAAACGTTGGATTCATACAGACACTGAAACAACAACAGCCTGCTGATATAAATCCAGGGTGTGAGTGTGTGCAAAAATTGTAAGGTAGCCAGGTTTATGCGGGTGTGTTTCCCTTCTAAATAAGTCAAATTTTTGCAGATGAACAAAATCAGGGAATGTTGGATTCTCACATTCCTCAATGAAGCTTTGCCAAAATCAAAGCAATCCCAATACGCATGTTATTAACTCTTACAGTTACAGCACCAAATTCCCAAGCGAATCCCACTCATTTGGTACTACTACTTGTATTTTCTACAACTATCATCAATCTGCAATAGTTCTGTAATCTGAAAAATGCATCTTAATATGCTTCAAGGACCCACAGAGAACTTTTTTTTAGATAAATTTGTTTATTACAAAAAGCCATTATAGTGCTCAAACAGTCAGAACTCAGAAGAAGCTCCTTTAGCTTTAGGTTCTTTATGCTTTTTATTTACATTTTAAATTCTGGCAGAATTCTTAACTTGAAATTTGAAAGGACAAAGGGGGTAATAAAAAACCCTTGACATTTTGTTTTAGCCAATGCATGAAAGGAGGAATTTTTTCTTTTTTTCCCACAACCTTTTTGAATTCACTAACACAAATGGGCTAAAAAAAATTTATTTGATTCTGCTTTTCTTTATATTCTTTCCTTCAGCTTTGCTGACAAGTGGTAGGCATGTTAGATGACACTTTTGTTACCAAAAACCTCTGCTTTTTTTCTCTACTTGGTTTACTGACTGAAGGCGAGAATGCAAAGACAAATGTTTACCAAATAGTACACTTAAGCATATGATGTATGTGGTTCCATGATACTGATGCAATTCAGTTGAAGTTTTTGTGTGTTTGTTGAATCATCCTAAGAAGTACGATAGAGTTTTACCAGCTCCACACTTACTTCCTTCATCACTATAGGACATTTTTTCTGGATTGTAGTTGATCAGATGGCTGCAAGAAAAGAGGCTACTTTGTTTATTGCAGCCCTTTTGTTCTGCTTCTGGACTTGTTCAACTGCATGGCTTTCCCCTGCTGGTGTCAATCCAGAAGGTAACTAAAGTTTGAAAACCTTGATTTTGTTTCAGTTTTTTTTCTTAATATTTTGTTGGGTTTTTTTTTTGTTGAGCCTTGAAGACACAATCCATTTTTTTTTGCTTACAGTGCAGGCTTTGATGGATATAAAGGAACTTCTAACCAACTCTGAAGCTTTTGTAAAGTGGGATAGAGTTTCCGTTGATCCATGCAGCTGGGTTATGATTTCTTGTTCCAGAGATAATAATGTTATTGGCATGTAAGTGTGTAATTGTTGTACATAAACTTGTAACCCTTCATTGAAACTGAAAAAGCAAAAATGAAAAATAATTGAATCAATTTCTTGCTGCTTTTCAAATAAGAATACCGCTAAAGTCCTTCAGTTTTGGTTTTAATTTCTTGTTGCAGATCAGCTCCAAACCAAGGTTTGTCTGGGCCGATTTCGCCGAGCATTGGAAATTTAACTCACCTGACAAGTTTGTGAGTATTCATTCCCCAACTCCTGAAAATTTATGTAGTATTATAATCATTATTATTATGTAGAATAATGTCATGAGGGATTGGTTTTGTTTTTGCAGGATTCTACAGAACAATAATTTGTCAGGTCCTTTACCTTCCGAGCTTGGAATCCTCCCAAAGCTTCAATCAATTGATCTTTCTAATAATGTGCTCACTGGAGACATCCCTACTTCTGTTGCTGAAATGAAAAGTCTCCAATACTTGTAAGGCAGCAGAAATCTTTGCCCATGCAATTTTTCTTTTGATGTGCAGAACATTTCTCAGAGGTCTTTCTGATGATTGTTATCATTTCGCTTTTTGTTCCCTCTTGGGTTAATTTGGTTGCAGGAGGCTAAACAATAACAGCCTTTCTGGAACTATTCCTCTGCCTTTCACAAATATGACTCAGATGAAAATTCTGTAATCTTCTTGGCCTTTCTCAATCCTTCAATTCATATATGTTTCTTGGATCATATTCTCATGGTGTTGCTGCTTTTCCTTCTATGTTGTAGGGACTTGTCTTTTAATAATTTTAGTGGTCCTGTTCCGAAGCTGCCTGTTAAAACGTTCAAGTAAGTTTCTCTGATAATCTCCAAACTTTCAAACTTCTCTCTTTGACTTTGGAGTTGTAACCAAAGTTTCTTCTGATGTTTCAGTATTTTGGGAAACCCAATGATATGTGCTACTGGAAAAGAGCCAGAGTGCAACGGGACGACTCCAATGCCCATATCAATGCCATTGAATAATACACAGAGTAAGTAAACAAAACCTGACTCTTCTGCAATCCGAGAATTTTAAGATGGTAGTTAGTAATTAGTGTATCAGTTACAGTCTTTTAGTCATAAGTCCTGTTTAAGTTAGCTTTCCTGCTCAAATTTAAGAGTTTTCACTCTGATCATTGCTGGTTCAGGTGTTCTGCCTTTACCAAGGCCGAAAACTCATAAAGTTGCACTAGCCTTTGGGACAAGTCTTGGATGCATCTGCCTGCTGATTGTTGGATTTGGTTTCTTTCTTTGGTGGAGACAGAAGCACAATAAGCAGATATTCCTTGATGTCAATGGTAAGTATCAATTTGAATAAATGAACGCATTAAGATCCATTTGATCTTCCTTTTTCTCAAGGACAATATTTCTTCATAGTTTCAGAACAACACCATGATGAAGTCTGTCTAGGAAACCTGAGGAGGTTTCAGTTCAGAGAACTTCAGGTGGCCACAAACAACTTCAGCAGCAAGAACATTCTTGGAAAAGGTGGTTTCGGAAATGTGTACAAGGGTCATCTCCAAGATGGAAGCATTGTTGCTGTGAAAAGGTTGAAAGATGGCAGCGCCCTCAGTGGCGACACTCAATTCCAAACGGAAGTTGAGATGATCAGCCTTGCCGTGCATAGGAATCTACTTCGTCTGTATGGCTTTTGCATAACTCCTACCGAAAGACTCCTGGTTTATCCCTACATGTCTAATGGAAGCGTCGCCTCGCGTCTCAAAGGTATTTTACACACTGCTAGAGGATCAAACTCCAAAGTTTTCAGTATGATCATCAGTTATCATATTTACCACGTCAAACTCACTATTTTCTTTTCTGCAGCAAAACCATCCTTGGATTGGGGTATAAGGAAAAGAATTGCACTTGGAGCTGCAAGAGGCTTGCTTTACCTACATGAGCAATGTGACCCCAAAATTATTCACAGAGATGTGAAGGCTGCAAATATATTGCTGGATGATTACTATGAGGCAGTAGTAGGAGACTTCGGGCTAGCAAAGCTGCTGGATCACCGCGACTCACATGTTACCACAGCCGTCAGGGGAACAGTAGGGCATATAGCTCCTGAGTATCTGTCAACAGGCCAGTCATCAGAGAAAACAGATGTCTTTGGTTTTGGCATTCTTCTGCTAGAATTGATCACTGGACAGAGAGCTCTAGAGTTTGGCAAAGCTGCAAACCAGAAAGGAGCCATGCTTGATTGGGTAAGCTTGAGAGGATTGTTAAACATTACTAATTGTCGATTAATCAGCACAATATAACATACTCAGGTGCCTCGTTGCAGGTGAAGAAGATCCACCAAGAAAAGAAGCTTGACATGCTGGTTGACAAGGACCTAAAAGCCAACTATGACAAGATTGAACTAGAGGAAATGGTACAAGTAGCTCTGTTATGCACTCAGTATCTTCCTAGTCAAAGACCAAAAATGTCTGAAGTAGTTCGGATGCTCGAAGGTGATGGACTAGCTGAAAAATGGGAAGCTACTCAAAGAGCCGAGGCTACCAGATGCAGAGCCAATGAATTCTCGTCTTCAGAGAGATATTCTGATCTAACAGATGATTCTTCATTGCTTGTCCAAGCAATGGAACTTTCAGGACCCAGGTGATATTGGTCCTCAAAGACATATCTTTACGTAAATGAAAAAATCAGCTTCTAAAAATGGGCAGTGAAGCTGGGTTATGCATGGAACTGATCAAAAACAGATGTTCTTACTGCAGAAACTAATTGGCAATAATATGTATAGTTAAGCCATAAAAAATTGCAAACAAAACTGAAAACTAACTGTAGATTGTAAAACTGACTACAAGGGACCACAGTTGTCTACCAAGTCTTCCACTTTCCCTTTTTTTTTTTCCTTGTTTTGTTTTTTATAGTTTGTTCCCTATTCCATATGTATTTTTAGATTGATTGAGAAAGGTTGTATTATAACGATTGACGAGTTTAATAGATTGGTTGAGATTATTTTGTGCTTATTTTCTCATGTTCAACATATACAAGAATGCAAATCTATCCATTCTGGAACTATTCCCGTCTTTCATAAAAGTATGACTCAGCTGAAGATTCTTTAAGCTTTTTTACCTTTCTCAATCCTTAGCTCACATATGTTATCGGATCATTTTCTCACTGTATTGCTTCTCATTTCATGTTATTGGATCATCTTCTTAACCTTTCAATAATAATCTAGGGGTTCCTGTTCCAAAGCTGCCTACTAAAACATTCAAGTATGTTTGGCTGATAACGTTTGAACTTTCAACTAAATTGACTTGGATACTGGAATTATGACCAAAATTTCTTGTTCAGTATTTTGGCAAATATATAAGAAATCTAAATATCAGTGAACAAATTCGAAGAGGTTACAACTTAGAGTTGTTCTTGAACAAACACGACTTCAGCTTGTGCAGAAGCCCGCCTAAGCCTAAGCAAATTCACCAACATGTTCAACTTTCCATCAGTAACATAACTACAGGGGATAACAGTCAAAACTTCAAGAACAGGTGTATGGTTGAGTATAAACTTGAGGAACCCCATCTCATGCAGAGTACCGCACACCTCAGTTATCTTAACGGTTTTGAGCTGATCAAACATGTAATCCAATGGGCACTCTTTCTCCCAAAAACCCAAATCAGAAGATACCACGGCTGCTGCTGCAGTTGAGGAACCCTACAGCGATACGGGAGAAGTTAATGTAAGAAGAGATGAAACTTGACAATAGCAAGTTGCAGTGTGAAATATAAACGCATTCATCATTACTTACTGAGATTTGAAGCTCCGTTAGGTTAGGGGAGCTCACTATCAGGTGAAGAACAGCCAGTACTTCATTCAGGTCTTCAAAATTTACTTGATACAACTCCACAATCTTAAGTTGATTATACTTGATGGGGTAGATTTCCCTGTCAATTCCTATACTCAGATACTGAAACAAAGGAAATACAGTAGAATTAATAAGATATTCAATCGTGAACCAGGTTGAACAATGTTCCCAATACAAACACAAAAAGAATATGAACCATGCCTTAATATATAACACAAACTCTCATAGACAACCTACCTTTGTGAAATATATTTGTCCAACCAGTCTTTCAAGATGAGGAACACCGCCGAGAAATTTGTTGAAATTGCAAGTTGAACTGTTTTCAAAATGTTCGGCTATATCATCCGTCATGTACATAGCAACATTAACAGCTGACAAACACGGGGTTTTCTCTAGGCATATGTCCATAAACTCTCCTTCCAAGGTCAAGTATTTCAGGTTTGGAGCACGAAGAGAGAGCCTCAAAGTATCAAAATATGATAATGTCAAACTCTCAAGAAGTGGGCAACTAGAAATGAAAATTTCAATGTCATCTGGGGGCATAAGAACTTGTTGGAGATTAAGACATTTCAAACACGGGAAGCCCTTAAATTCTGGGGGAGGGACCAATTCACACCGAAGTAGCTCCAAATGAGTTAACTTCGAATAGGTAAATAGGCAAGAAGGTGCCCTGAACCACTCACCTTCGCTTAGTTCAATACACAACTTCCTGACACCCTTCCTTGAAAGGAAAAGAAGCCACTGATCTATACTAGGGCAACTTTCCAGAAACGAAGTAGACACAGAGAACTCGTGAATAGGCCCGTGATGAAGAAAAAGAAACCGTGTGATGAAATTCACTAGAATTTGCACCGACTTTCCTCTATCATAGCAAGAGGACACACATTTGTCATTGAATACGAGATTTGTGATGGTAGTCCACTTGTACCTCCATTTGCTTGACAGTGCGCTCGTCCTGACAGCATCTCTGATTGGAAGCTTCGTAAGGATAATTTCCAAGATGCTTTGAGGCAGATCACTGATCAAATCACCCCTCTTATCACAATCCATCATTTTTCTTCACCAAGTAAAATGGTAGAATCCCACCATTCAATTAATCCAAGGGACCAAACCCAAAAAAAAAAACAGTTATGCACACCTTATTAGCTTTCTCCCATGATCATCAAAATAACAGTAGGAAAATAACAAAAATAAAATTGAACTACAATTCCTTCATAGGCTGCAATTTGCAAAAACCCCCCCAAATGGATACTCCAAAATTGCAAAATTGGATTTGGGGATGAAGAATTCGAGAGCGCGGCTAAAGACATATATTCTCTCTAAGTAAAGCTGATTGATTACTTCTTATCCATTAACAAAGAGTTTCTAAGAGTCCATAAAATGCAAAAACATCAAACTTAACAACCATTTCTTGCAGTACTTCCACACAATCTTCTCACCAACCATAACCACCGACAAACGGGTGATCACAGGTCTTTTATGCGACGTATGACCGAAATCGATAGGATAACATAATCTTAATCCATTTTCAAAATCAAACCCACGTATTAACCCAATCTCATTCTGACCCAGATGATAAAGTTAACATCTTGATCATATAAACTATTAAAACGTGTTAAGGCGTCAAAGTTTTGAAATGTTCCCCCAAAGTAAAAAAAAAAAAATACCCCAAATGGAAAAGAAAACGAGAAGGAAACGAATGAGAGGAAAAGGGTTACGGCTTACCAGTGACCTGAAGGCAGCAGAGATTCAGCTTTTCGACTTGTAAGAAACTGCTCGACTGTTTTAAGAGACGAAAAGAAGCAGGGTCGGAAGAGAAAATTGGTGTGACTTTGTGAGAAATAATTATGGGATTTGCGGGTGTCGGGTAGATTATTTTAATAAAAGTAGTCCCACATCGGCTTCCGGGTGGAGGATTATCAATATAAAAGGTTGAGCCCGAAGGAATGAAATTCAGATGGCCCGTTACTCGGGATTCTCCAAAGGGGTAAAATCCCACGACGGGCCACGGCATCCCATTGCGGGCACTGCACACGCATCCAGCATCCCATTGCGGATTGCGGGCGATGCACACCATGCTGATTTCAATCTATACCGATGATGCCCCTTGCGGCGGAGGTCCGTTTTTTTGGATTTAACCAGCCCAAACATTTGGTAGGCAGGCTGTTGGTTTTACATCAGGCCCAAAAAAAATATTAAAAAACAACAAACCCATTATAATTTACAGATATTTCTTCTTTTTTTCTTCACTGCCCAAAACAAATATTAAAAAACAACAAACCCATTATAATTTACAGATATTTCTTCTTTTTTTTTCACTGTGAAATAATAATCTCATTGTGATTGTTAAATAAACAAGTTAGAGAATAAATATTCTTTTATCTTCACAAGGTTCAAATCATGAAAAATTCAATATTAGAGTAATTTAAAACAAATTCTTGATGATTAAAGTTTCGTTTCTTTTTCAATGTAAAATATAGTCTCATAAACATTTAGGGAATAATAAATACTACTCCTTCCATCTCACAAAAATAGTCCATATTGAGTTTTAAATTTTGTACTGCTTTTTATACAAATTTGAAAACTCAATGTAGACTATTTTTTTGGGACAGAGATAGTATTAGTTTTAGGAGTACTTCACAAGACTCAAACCATAAAAATCCTAATCTAGAATCTAGTGCATGCAAAGAATTAAAAATCATTAATTTACAAAAGCTTGCAACCTTAAATTCTTTGAACAAATCAAGTGTTACGACTTACAACACAATGAGAAAAATTATTATGGACACCATGAAAATATTAAAAGAAACACATTAACTCATGTCCATTATTTTGGTAGAATCTTCAAATAATTGCCCCTTTGATGCCATTTTTCAAGAGCTTTTGAACGGAGCAACCATCTATACATCCGCGAATCACTACCTTGTTTACATGTTTTGAATCAATACTGAAAAATGTGTACAGAGGTTTTTTGGTTTGAAGATGGCATTTTGACTTCTGTACGTATAGAATGGCAATGATTGGATTTCCTTAGTAGCTTGTTTTACATACAATTATAAATACAGTTTCATTTTATACTTTTTTTAACCTAAAATTATTATTCAATTTAAATTTTTTATTTTTTATTCAATTTGTACTAAAAATAAAAATCAAACTAGATAATAATTTTGGGACGGAGGGAGTAGATCATTTGTCTTTAACCATATAACTAGATGCTTGCCCCGGGCAAATGCCCGAGGGCGTCCCACCTAATAAATTGATATGTAAATAATCAAAACTGATTAGGAATGAATTTAGTTTTTGATGAAAATAATTGATTGACCGAAAATTAATTTTTTCAGAAGTCCTAAATAAATGGAGAAGGAAAATTTCACACACTGTCAAATTCAAAATTTGAATGAACATGGCTATCTGATCTCTTCGTTAATATTGTAAATATATTTTTTATTTCTAAAAGGATGTGACACGTGGCAGAATGATTTATGCAATATGGTGCATTTGGAGCCAAAATATTTTAATAAAAAAATTGCCACATCAGCATCCTGTTTTCTACTTTAATAGGGTAAAAGGGATGTTTCAATAGTTTAACCAAATTTTAAACTGTAAATTTTGCAGTCAGGTAGGAGAAGATACTGGTATGTATGCCTATTATGATATTTGTATTTGTATTTGTCCTTTCTAGTACTTTTTACATTGTACTCTATAGCACCCTATATCAATGGTTCAGTTTAATGAGATCAGTTATTTAATTTATTTATGTTTTTTTTTTAATTTTGAAATAACAATGAGATCAGTTATTTATATCTACTAGATGTTAAACCCGCGCAATGCGCGGGGTTTATTTATATACATATAAAAAATTAAAAATAAATATATAAAAAGTGTAAAATGTATTTGGAGTCCATATTAAGGTACATTACACAACTAAAATTAAATAAAGGCGTAATTATAAAGACAAAATAATGTATATTATTTGAAATGTAAGTGTTTATTTGATTTTTATTGAAGGAGAAGAACTGGACAATAACACTCATAAGCAGAGTAAAATAAATAAAATTGTATTAATGTTACATATTGAATGAAAAAATAAAATGATTGTACGCGTAAAATATATAATGAAGTAATTATCAATAGTAGATGGTAGATTATGTGTGACTGAAGTATGAAATTTAAAATTTTTATGGTTATTTTATTGTAATTAAAGATTTTATAATACTGTTTGGCCCAATACTTAATATTTTAGAGGAACAAACTAACTGTAGAGTCAAAATTTTTGCCCTTTAATTCCTTTTTGCTATGACAATAGAAAATAATAATTGATGAAATTATAAAATTATGGGTAAAAAAACATAAATTTAGTAGCGTCTAAAAAAGAACCCTAAAACATCATTTTGCAGAAGAACATACGGAAATAAAAAAATCATATATAACCTTAATTAATCATTACCTCCCATGCCACACGATCGACCCACTATTAGTTCATCGCTTTCAGAACAACAAACCAACTGTTGGGTTAGAGTTTTTGCCCTTTCATCTTTGGATTTCGGGTTGTTTTGGGGATGGAGAAATTTTTGCAGCACTGGAACATACTCATGGTTTGTGTGGCATGTATAAATAGAGATAAATTGGGATTGATGATAATTGATTATCCAAAATTTCAGTGATAAAGATAAAGTTTATAACAATTTTTGAAATATTATTAAGGAAAGATTATATTTATTTGGGTAGATATGATATTACACAAATAAATGTATTGGTTTGAAATTTAAAAGATAACATTTAATTATAGTTAAATCCCATCCTTTTAGTAATAATTGAAGGCAAGTTTTGTACATTTTTTTTTTATTGGCGAAAAATACAGGGTCATGTTTTTTGGGAGAAGATTTTAAAGATAACATTAATATTGAATGATTGATATTTTTTTTTTTGAATTGTAGTCTATTAATTTACATGATTGGGAGGGAGATTTTTTTTAGAGAGATTAATTAAATGAGTTCAGTAGTAACTTTGGGGATTCTTTTGGGGAGGGAATAATTCTGGTGCATTAATGTTCATTAATCCCGTCCATTAAATTTAATTAATTTTTATTTTTCTATTTTAAACTATAGTTTTAAATGTCATTTGATAAAACTTTATTTACATAAAATTTGAAAGACTATTAATATAATTGTTGTAAATATTTTTTTACTCAACCATTAAAAAAATGACACATAGGATTTTATCTTATGTGGCACCTTTAGAATTCTTTTTTTTTCCTTTCTCTGATTTTTCTCTTAGTATATTAGTATAAATTCTTATTCTAATTATGCCTTATACAGTGAGGTTTGAATGGATTATTTTTTTTCCAATATGTTTTTTCCAGAGCGTCTCCCGAAATAGCATGCTTTATAATGAACAACTACTTATCCATTCAAACCTTAATTTAACATCCAAGATGAAAAATGGAAAAGAATTTCGCAAACAATCAGATCTTGTACCCTAAAGAATAAGGCTCTTTCCAGCAGAATAAAAAGCATGAACAATGAAATTGTTGCATGTTCTCTACATATAGTTGTTGTGAAGATATTAACCGTGATCTCCTTATATTTTAACTATATATCTCCCCATCGGAAGAAAATTTGAGCTCAAAGCACAAAGAAAAGCATTCATTTCCAAGCACTACTAAGTACTAACACTGGATTCCTCAAGCCGTTTCTTCTACTTTGTTACTCTTCCCGGACCTCTTCCTTTTCCTACTCCTGCTTCTCTTTGTAGTATCAGAATCGGTTGTATTAATCTTACTGTTATCCTGCATCCGAAATCCAATATGTTCAAACAACAGAACCAACAGCAGAGATAAACTTCTTGATAAAAAAGAGGGAGAGACAAAATTACGAAGATCAATTCCAACAAGTGTTTACCATGGACTACAATGGACTATCCCAGTTATTCCTAGAACTTAAACTGATTAAAAGCTCTAGTAAAGCACGCCTATTTCAAGTTAGTGGTCCTTCGAGATCTCTTTTTAACAAATACAAGAAAAGTGCTATATAGCTCTACAAGGCCCAATACCGATTTTTTTTAATGGAAATGACTCACATCTGAATCATTCAAAAGGAAGCCCCTCACTATGCTTGACCATAACCACAATGCCAGATAGAACATATTGCAGTGACAGCCAATAGATGCATTTTCATTGAGGTGATGCTAACATGAAAACCTTTTCGGAGCTTTAACAAGTTGTGGACAAGGATGAAGAAAGAAAACAGTCAAACAATTCAGACTTAAAACCAACCTTTCCGGTAGCAGCAGTATTTGTACTTGGGCGTGGCTTTTTCTTCTTACATGATAGTGGATTTGGGCCCTGTGGTGCAAGAGAACAAAGATTTCATTTCATTGCATAGCTAAAACTAAGGAATAAAAACTAAAAGCAATGAGAAAAAGGACAATAAGATCTGAGACCCTAACCTTAGCCCTCTTTCTCTTAAACTGAACTTTATCTTTCACATCTTCTATATTTTTTCTAGTACTTGTCTGGATCAACTTGCCCGCAAACGCATGATTTCCATTGACATCAGGTACATCTGAAGAATTATTTAATTCCTCGGAAGCAACATTTTTCCTCGTCATGTTTAGTAACTTGTACTCCCGGTCGGTCATACGGGAACGGGCTTCTTCAGAAGATTTGAGAAATTGGCGTTGGAAAGCTGATGGCTGTTCAAGAAGTAAGGCATTTCGAAGACCAAATACAAGAGGTACACCAGGCACCTGCCATAAATGAACAGCAAGGCAGAACAACAAGGTCAATATTGGCAAGACAAATGCCTGATCCTTGCACAAATCTAGAATGAACATAGCCAATATAATTACCATAAATGAATTACATAACCCGACAAAAAATTTGATATTCTCGATTAGTTTCAGGATATCTGTGAAAATAAGAAATGCCAAATGCCTTATAATAAGAAGATTTAGAAATCCACAGCCAGAAACTTGGGCATTTGGCATGTTGAAAGCAACAACAGGTTAGACCACTAGGTGACTGAAACAAGAACAAAAAGATAGTGCAAGTCTTCAGTCTAAACAATGAGGCAGAACTCAAACTGATAGCTTGAGACATAATCTGTACTCTGTAGCGTAGCAGAACAATGCCAAGCCTTAAGCAACGCACAGATCTCAGTAGTAGAGCAGAACAATGCACATAGCACAAACAAGTGCACACACCTCTTGAAGGTTCTTCCTTAATTCAGCATCTTGAGTAGCCACGAAAAAATGCTCAGAATTATTTTCACCAATAACATCAGCTACACAATTGACAGCACTCTTCCGCTTCTCATGGTCGCATCTGAATAAAAAATTCACAAACAACTTTTCTTAGGGCAAACACTTTTAGAAACTCAAGGATAATGCATTGCAGTCACTTCAAACGAGTTTTCTGAGGGTATCTTACACAACTTAAGAGGTCAAGAAAATAACTTTAACTTTTGCATCAGGAAATATAGTGACCTAAAATCCACCAAAATATTAGATGGAGGGATAAATAAAGCCAACCTTGCAGTTGCAAGAGTTTGAGCAGCATTTAAGGATTCATTGTAGGAGTCACCGAGGCTTTTCAACTCAGCAAGAATACATCTGCAGCAAAATTAAGTGAATAAACAATATAAAAAGTAAGCACTTTACCAGTTCAAATAAACTCATATCGGATCTTAACACAAATCAAGAAAAGAATCTACAACATTCCAACGTAAAACCAAAAAGTGCCAGGTTTTAGTTATTTCAAAGCAAATTTAAGAACACTCAGACTTAAAACCCCCCAAAAAAGAAGTAAATAAATAAATAAAAGAACACCCAAGGAATCCATTATACCAAGTTCAACATTCTTCTTGACCACCATAATCATAAATCCAATTCGTGACATAACTAAGTCAAAACAATATCCAAACGTGGCCGGGAAATTTTGAATTTTCTGGCCCGCCCGAGTAGAATGCTAATACAAAACACTGTGATTTGAATTCAAGGACAGAAATATATATAATATCATCTCAAAAGTTTCACGATGAAATGAGTTACCGAAGAAAAACAATCAGTCGAACCTGGTAGTAAACAATTTCACTGGGGCACCTAAAACATTAGCCAATGCAGTATCAGCAGGAGTAATGCGATTCGTAATAAGGTGGTGAACAAAAGTTCCGTCACACAGAACTTTGAATGGCTCACGAAAACCGAAGCAAGCAGTGAAAAATCTCACGGTCTTTCGATGGCGTTTCTGCTTCTTGAATCTCATCTATTGGCATCAAAGGTAGAAAAAAAAATTGAAGAGCATCAAAGGTAGAAAAAAAATTGATCAGATAACTTCACACAAGGACACCAGATAAAGAAAAATCGACAAAGATGACAAACATATCATAGAAGCGAATTAAAAATAAACAAATATAGTGGAAGGCAAATCATAAAACTCAAACGCTTAACCAAAGAATGAAAACTTAAAAAGTTCCATTATAGGATGCATTCAGTTGCTGCCCACTGTAAACTGGGGAAATAAAAACACTCTGGGCCTTATATTACAAACATATGACATTAATACAGTCTAAAAATGATTCCTCAAAGTTAAAAAGCATTCATGAAATTTGGAACACGACTAAGTAAAAAATCGAAATTCATGCAGCGGGCTTCTTCTCCCTCTACGACTAATGAAAAATAAGAAAAGGGACAGAGAAAAAGGGAAAAGAAATTACATTGATTGCAGTGCCAGATGATCAACAACGGAGGTGGTGGAGGGTTTGATTTCAGTAATATTATTAGCCAACAAAGGGAGAGTTTAATGGCGGCGGAAAAGACTCAAGGCAGTAGCAGAGGTGAAGTACTAGTAAGAAATTAAATCTGCAGAAGAAGGGTTTGTCGTCTTCTTAAGCTAATTCAGTAATACAAGACGGCTAGTCGGCGGCGACGATAGCGTTTTTCAGGTCGACGGCGGCTGAAAGTCGAAGAAGACAGCCTGAGAGAAAGAAAGAAAGAAAGAGGGATCCCGCCTAATCGGAACTATGGGCTTTCCATTACTAGAAATTTTCAGGGGGAAAAGCCCACAGTCCATTTATTGCACGGTTATAAAACAGCCCATCAACATTAAAAGAACAAAAACATGTATCGTGGATCTGAATAGCGGTCTGAGAAACCTTTGTTGCTACGCAATTCAATTGAGAAGAAGAATAAAACAAAACAAAGAGGAAGCCCGCAAAATCAGAATGCTGTTCATCTGTCCATTTCAAGAGAATATGTATTGCCAAGTAAGAAGTCGCATATACATCAACCTCATAATGAATTAGAAGAATTAGGTTTTCTTTATACTACATCAATATCATGATTTATATACTAGCATATGATTAAGTTCATTCTCAAATTCCCTATAGTTAGTGATGAACTTGATAATTTGCCCACGACTAAATCATTGCCTTTGTAGCTATTCTCCTCGACCATTACGTACCTTTCCGAATTTTTGTATTTTTCAAACTCATTAACTATGCACACTGTAACTCTGTAAGAACGGTGCTACAAAAAAAAAAAAAATAGTCTTACTTTTGTTGTTGTATAATGACTCTTATTTTGGGACGGTGGTAGAAATTTATACAACTAGTTTCTTTCTCTCATACTGATTAAAAACAGAAAAGAGAGGAAGTAGAAGGTAACACAGAAATGCTTTCAATTGAAAATACTGAAAATCGACTAGCTCTCTCACAAATCACAATCATATGTGTGTCACACGACTAATGAAATCAACAAAATGAAGTTGAGCTTCTAAAATGCAACATTCTTCCCATCTGTATAAGAACCATTAAAACAACCTAGTAAACTAACACAAGACAACAAAGTGCTGAATTCCTTAAAAATTGATGGACATGAATCTTCTAGTTGTTTGCTAGACTTGGGACAAGAAGCAGAGGGACTTTCCTCGGCATCACAATACCATGAGCTTCAGTCATGTCCAATTCTTCTGGTATTGCCCCACCAGCCAATGCGAAATCCAAATTTCGAATCAAATTCGCGAGCGCGAGTTCAACTGTTACCGTGACAAATCCGATTCCAGGACAAATCCTTCTTCCAGAACCAAATGGTATCAACTCAAAGTGATGACCTCTGAAGTCCACTGACCTATCCTTCAAAAACCTCTCCGGCTGAAATTCATCAGGTTGTTCCCACAACAGAGGGTCTCTTCCAATGGCCCAAGCATTGATGAGCACTTGAGTTGCACCTTCAACATCATATCCCAAAACTTTGACAGCATTTCGTGTTCTACGATTAATCATAGCGACTGGAGGATGCATGCGGAGAGTCTCTTTGATGACAGCTTTCAGATATGGGAGTTTTCCTAAATCGTCCTCAGTGATGTGATCTGGTAAGTAGCCAGATAAGGAATTTCTCACCTCATTTTGCAACATTTTCATTGCATCTGAGTTCTTTAGTAGCTCGGAAATCGCCCACTCTAAAAGTGCCGAAGTAGTGTTCGTTCCAGCAACAAACATGTCCTGCAAACAATATATTTCCAGTCACAGAAAATGTAAAATTCGATCGAAAACTAAAGTACGAATCAGGATTGAAAATTTTACCAAAATGATAGCTTTAACCGAATCTCGATCAACGGAGAAGTCCAGAGCATTTGCATTCCGCTGGAGTTCAAGCAGAACATCGACAAAATTCTGTTCTTCTACTTTCTTCTCTTCAAGACTTTCGCCATCATTGCTTGCTACTCTTTTCTCCAGCCTCTGCATTCCTTCATCAACAACTTTTTCCAAATATTCGTCGAATGCTTTCGCAACCCGATTCGCCTTTCCCTCCATACCATTGATGTGATTCATCCACCCAAGACAAGGAATGAAATCAGCCACATTGAAGTATCCCAACAGCGTAGTTGTGTCCTCAAACAACTCCTTAAACTGATTCCCACCTTCTTCAGCAGAATACCTTTTTCCAATGGCTATCATAGAGACAACATCATTAGCGTAGGTAGCTAAAATCTCACTTACATTTACAGTAATGGATGATCCTGACAAACATGATTCTCTGATTTTTTCCAACATTTGCTTGACCTCTTCTTCGCGTAAGCTTCTGAATGATTGAACCCTCTTGTTATTCAGAAGGTGAAGAACACAAATGCTTCTTGCTTGCCTCCAATACTCTCCATAGGGTGCAAAAACTACATCCCTGAAATTGTAGAGAAGCTTTTCATCAAAAGCTCTCTTAGGCCGGTCAGCGAAAACGGCATCCTGCTTTTTGAGCACTTCCTCAGCTGATTCTGCTGATGAGATTATGAGTACAGGTTTTCGACCTAACTGAAGCTGCATCACTGGGCCATAATTTTTGGGCTAATGATGCCAGAGAGCGGTGGGGGATGGTACCGAGTTGATGAAGGTTACCAATTATGGGAAGTTTTGGTGGTGAAGGTGGAGGCTTATTCTTTGGGACATGATTATTGCACCGTTTAGAAAGAAACAGAATGAAAATGAACGGAAGAAACAAATAGAGGGAACGTTTTAGCATGAGCAACAAATCTGCTTCTTCCAAAAACCCCAAGTTATCCATCTTTCTCTTGCTCTTCTAAAACTAAAGGAGTTTGTTATGGTATTGCTTTGGAGATGGCTAGTTTCTTTTGTAGATTGATCTTATTCCATCTGATTTAGTAATTCTTGGAAGGACAAAATGTACTTTACGTCCCCCAGGTATTGGGGGTAGCAAGATCGAGTCCTCGTTAATTTTCAATAGGCAAAAATAATCCCATAAAATATTTTTTCTCATCAATTTTGATTAATTTAACAGAAAATCTTTAAACTTAACGGGTCAAATTTTTTGACCGTTAAGTCTTTAATTTTTATTCATTTCTTAAATAGTAAGGTCCACTAGTTTGACCCAAACCAAAAAAATTTATGTTTTCTTTTTCCTTTTTCATTTCTTTTTATTAAAGTTTTTTTTTCGCAAAAACTAAAAATATTAAAAATATTTTTTCTTCTACTAAAATTTCAAATTTATCATTTTTTCTTTAATTCCCTTTTCTTTTCTTTTCTTTTTTTTTTTCAAGTTAAATTTCTTTCTTTGTTTTATTCTTGTTATTTTTCATTTTCTGTTTCATCCTCACTCAAATATATCATCAGATCAGCTGTTTCCTGCAAATAACAACGAAAATGGAAGACGAAGAAGGACCGAGATCAAACATCACGACCGTAAAGGAAGAAGAATCACAACAAGAACCCAAGAAGAAAGCCTCGTCTTAACAAGTACGCACTTGGATATGTTGTTTTGGCTTACTAATTCCATTCTCTTGGGTTACGATAATTTCATCCAAATTCTTTCTGCTATTTAATTCTCACTTCTTATCAATCTAACCGAAATGAATTCTGTTGTTTTTCCCACTGTGATAAGATTATGCTCTGTTTCAATCTCTGTTTTTTTTTTTTTTTGTGGTATTAGATATTGGGGTGATGAGTGGGCAGTGCTATCAATCTTGGTGGGCTCATGAAAGGCACAGTTGAAGAGGCCAGAAGGGTTTTGAGGAAAATTTTCGAGACTGAAGCAGAGTCTTCTATGTTCTTGAGAAAATCAACTTGTAGCTGTTGCGGTTTTCGTCATGAAATTGTCTGACTCTTTCTGTGTATTTTGTCATGACTGAATTTTTTTTTTTTCCCATTTTCATTTGGCTTTGGCCTTTGAACTTGATTTCCACATTATATTTGGCTTTGTTGCTAATCAATTAAATGAAAGGTGTTAGTTTTTGAAACCACCATCTTTACTACTCAAAGTCACCTAAAATAATTGGACCATTTTGCCCTTGACATTTCAAACTTCCACTAAACAAAAAGAGAGAGAAAACTTGAAATCGCCTCCTTTCTAAACCCCAATTTGAAGTCTAATTTGATCCAAAATTGATGGCAACATGGAAAAATCAAAGTGGGAAAGAGCTGATCTCATCACAGATACGTTTTTTTAAAAAAAAAATTTGTGAATTGTAGATAAAGAAAAAAAAAATTCTGGCCGCCGGAACGGCCAAGGAGGCCGTCCGGCGGCGCGACTGGGACGCGCACGAAACGCGTCCCGGTTCAACCTGGAACGAGCAAAACGCCTGCTCCGGTTGAACCGACGCGCTGTTCGGGTTGAACCGAACGCGTTTCTGCGCGTCGGTCGAGCCACGGACGGCTTCCACGCCGGTCCGGCGGTAGAATTTTATTTTTAAAATTTTGTGTGGCCATGGCCGTCCGTGGCGCGCCGGGACGCGCAAGCAACGCGTCCTGATTCAACCCGGAATGGGCGTTTTGCTCGTTTCGGGTTGAACCGGGACGGGCAAGAAGCGCGTCCCTGTCGCGCCGCCGGACGGCTTCTCTGGCCGTCCAGCGGCCAGAATGCTTTTTTTTTTTTTTAAATTTGTTTAATTCATTATTATTGTTTAATTATGTTTAATTTAATGTAATTAGGGTTATAATGTAGTTATTTATTAATTAATAATTTGTGATTTAGATTGAGGTTCTCTATTAGTTGGTTATTTAGTTTAACTGTGTAAATAATTTAATTTGATTAGTTTATAAATTAGTTGAGTTTAAAAGACTAATTTAATTAATAGTAGATTAGTTCACTACCTAATTAGTTTAATTGATTAAATTACTTAATTTAAGTAGTTATTAAAGTATTTAGGTTATATTTTTAATTTAATTATTAGTAGATTAGTAAATTAATTATTTTAATTGAGTAAAATAATTTAAATAGTATGTAAATTAGTTGAATTTTAAAAAATAATTTAATTAATGGTAGATTAGTTCACTACCTAATTAGTTTGATTGATTTACTCATTAATTTAAATAGTTATTAAAGTATTTAGGTTATATTTTTAATTTAATTATTAGTAGATTAGTAAAGTTAATCATTTGAATTGATTAAATTAATTTAAATAGTATGTAAATTAGTTAAATTTTTAAAACTAATTTAATTAATAGTAGATTAGTTACACCCGAATGCGCCACTTTCCACCAACTAAGTGCACATATAACTTAAATTTACACCAATGATTTGTGTCTTCGAATCTGATGTGACATAGTATTCACCATCATCAACTGACACCTTTCCCCCTTTACAGCATCTCATCAGAACACCATTCTTCCTCTTGTTAGAAACTACGTTTATTATCATACCATTTGCGATGCCCATGCCTTTCACCCAAGCAACAACTTCATCCTTTTTCCGAAAATTCCTCATCTGTAGCAAACAATATACTATAATCTTCACCATCGCCACCAAAATCTTCGGAAGAAGCCTACAAATTAAACATAAAATTACCACAATAAAAAACTGCATTATAATAAATTAAATTAAACACACATCCAATCATTTAAAAAAGATATACAATTATAATAAATAATAAAAAACATACATTTACAGTAAAAAGATTAACTATAAAAAATACAAAAACTCAACTAATCTAAAATTATTTACTAAATTAAATTTGCCAATACCTACTTAAATAGCTAGAATTCATTAATTTAGCGATTAATTAAATATTTAATTAATTGCATTTCCAATACTTAATTAAATACTTATTCCACAAAATTATTTAATTATTTAATTCCCCCCCGAAATAAATATTATTTCTAATTAATTAAACCCAAATAAATAAATAAAATTCGACTAATTAAATAACAAATAAATTAATAATATTCCTACTTAATTAAATTTACATAACATGCATGAAATTAAAATTAAAAAAATAAAAAAAATAAAAAAATTTTAAAAAAACTGTTCACCGAACCGGCCCGTTCGGTTGGACCGGGTTCAATGGCCGGACGCGTGTGCCGCGCGACTGGCCATTGAACCGGACGCGTTTGTTGCGCGTCCCCGGTTCAACCGGGACGGTTTTCTTGCCCGGTTCGGTTTTTTTTAAGTTTTTTTTTTTTACCTATGAATTATTCATTTCCTTTCTCTCTCTACTGTAATAAATGACAGGGGCAAAATCGTCCAATTTTTTTAGGTGACTTTGAGTATTAGGGGTGTGGATTTAAAAATCCATCCCCTAAATAAATATCCGGGGAGTGAAGTTGAGTGGTGGATTGGTGGCGGCGGCAAAGGAGGTGGGGGAAGTGGTGGTGGCGGTGTGTATAAGAAATTTTTTTTTTTTTGGGTCAAACTAGTGGACCCCACTGTTTAGGAAATTAATAAAAAATTAAAAATTAAGTTTGACTCGTTAAGTTTAAAATTTTTTTGCTAAATTGATGAAGAAAATATTTTAGGGGATTATTTTTGCCAATTAAAAATTTACGATACTCAATCTTGCTACGCTCAAAAACTAGGGGATGAAAAGTGCATCCGGTCCTTCTTAGAACTAAATAAATAGCACAATTTAGTCAATTCACATATATCTCGTGGGAATTGCCCTAAAAGGATTCCTCAACGAACTTGTACCTTATACTTCCCCGTGGCATTTTAAAAATACAAATGATTGGTGTGGCAAGGAATTTATAATTCAACATCAATCAAAAGAATAATATTTTTCATAGGGAATATTAATGTATACATCCAAACGATTATATCATGTTAGCAAATTCATCCCAAAGTTTTATAATTGGTTAATTACATCTCAAGGTAATCAAAATTAAGCTGATCTATCCCATGACCTGCAAACTAACAAAAGTGGCCTGGTATAACAGGTAAAGTCATTTGGATTCCATATTTAACATTTTTATTTATGTTTTTTTGAATTTTTTAAATTTTTTTAGTTTATTGAAACAAAACAACATTTATAAATGAAGAAACTAAAATTTTAATTTATTTGTAATGAATATAATTTATTTTATAATCAGATTTATCTTAATTTTTTGATAAAACTTAGAAAATTTCCATTTTTTTTTATTTTGAGTGAAAAATAGAATGATTATGTTTTCACACACACACACACACACATATATATATATATATATATATATCTTGTCTTCAAAAATTAATTCATTTTGAATTTATCCTAAATTTTAAATTATTTCATTTGTGATGCATAAATTATTTGATTAATTAAGTAAGTTTTTTTGAGTTTTTTTTAATCTAAAAATTTTGTTTGTTTTTTAATGAACTAAAAATGACAAAAAAAAAGAGAAAAAAAAAATAAATATGAAACCTAATAGATTTTTACCTGTTATATTAGGTCATTTTTGTTGTTTTGCAGATTATGGGATAATAAGCTCAATTTTGATAACCTTAGAACATAATTGATCAATTTTAAAATGATGCGATGAATTAGAACACTGAGTGGACGTTGAGACGTATCCACTCATTCATCCATTTTTCATACATCAATATCATGAAAAATGAACTGCTCCACATGCGCACTAATCACGACTGAAACAATAGTACCTTGTGGCATGATATATTATCATGCTGATGGTTATATATTTTTCAGCCACATGCTTCATTGATGTGTACCTCAAACGGCAACAGTTAGTAGTGGTTACAAGTTAAGGGTTGAAAACTCCTAAAGTATGGCAATCTTCCAGAGAAAGGTCTTAAATAATGATAGGCAAACGAAATTGGAAAGGTCCCAATCACTCCTTCAGTTAGGTCTTTTGAATTTGGAAAACGTCTAAATAATGCAGTTGCCAAAATGTGAATATGTAAATCAACTGGAAATTGCATAACTTGCCTGCTAGCACTTGCATTAGGCCTGAGAGTCATTAACCTATCTATCTTTCTTTCTCTGCCACGCTTGTCATTCAATCTTCAACCGGATCTTCATAAATGACTTGTGCACGAGGTGAAGCTCGTCGGAATTTTGTCAATTCTTTTAAAATTGCATTCTCAATGAATTTGTCGTCATAAGTTTCATCCGCCACAGGCTCTATTGCCATTTTCTCTAAAATTGGCGAGCTTTCCAGGATAAATTTTATGAACAGCATCTCGGGCCTTGTTCCAGTTATATACTGCAGCTTCACTTCTTGAAGCATATTTAAGATGATGTCTGAGTAGTCTTGCGCATCCACAAACTCTTCCATGTCGCTTGCTTCATCTTCTCCCACAGTATAGAACTGGAGAAAAACAGGAGGGTAGATGAGATTGATATCTACAATTTCGAAAAATCTAACATGATCTCATAGCACAACCAAAAAAGCTGAAAGACTCACTGAAAATTCCATCTCTTGTAAGTTGGGGGAGCTTCTCATTAGGCAAAAAACAAAGGAAATCTCATCAAACACATCCATGGACACATAGGATAGTTTAAGAACTTTAAGGTGGATCAAAGCAGTAGTGAGGCTTTCTGGGATGCCACCTGCACATAAATACTTCAAAGCACACAAAGAAATAAGACAGAATAATACATTACAATGCAACCCAAAAGCATGAAAAAAGAGAATGATGCAACTTTTACCTTGATGAAGTAATAGTCCAGATGTAGATTCTCAAGTCGAGGAAGGCAACAAAAATAATCATTCATACCTTTTACTACCTTCCGGAAATTTTCCTCCTCTTCGTTCTTTTGCAGAACAAGTGAAACAACCGCAAGCACTGGAGTATTCTTAAAAAAGACACATTTTATTGGGCTCTTTAGGATGAATGACTTCAGTTTAGGTGCAACAATCTCAAGACAGTTCAAATTTTCAGAGAGTTCCAGCTTCAACTGCTCCAGCAGGGGGCAACTGGAGATCAAATTTCCGAGTACTTTTGGTGGGATATCTACTTGACGCATCCTAAGGCTAATCAGTTGACTGAACCCTTTGAAAGTAGGGGGAGGGGTTATTAGACATGACCATAGATTCAAATGCCTAAGCTCCTGACACGAGAAGAATGATGAAGGCATTCTGTAGTGTTCCCCAAGCCAGAGTTTGAGGGTAAACTCCTTGACCCCACCCCTTGAAAGAAACACAATCAAGTTGTCAATTTCATTACAACCTTCAAGGTCATTTATGGAGAGAACAAACTTGAATATAGGCCCCTGATGAAGTGACAGGATCTGATATAGAATTTCTACCAATTTTTTCCTAAGTAAATTTTGATTTGTTGCAGATACATCCCAAAGTGTATCATCAAGTACAAGTTGTGGGATTCTGCACCAACAATACCTCCATTTCTTAGACAAAATACTAGTTTTAGCAGCATCCCGTGTTGACAAGAACATTAAGATATTTTCTATTATACTGCTTGGAAGATCACTAATCCTATCAGAGGGAAGAATGTTTTTACCGCCACGAGTTTTTTTGGCTGTAGGCATTTTCTCCGATGTCACAGATATTTCAGTTTTACTGCTAATTCCAGTAAAGAAAAGATATGAAGGTCATATGCAAAAGAAAACAAAATCTGGGAAGTACTGTCAGAAGCTAGCCATCATGAAATCAAACAAATCCTAGCAGTTTCCACTTTCCATTGTGCTTGCCGTATAAAATGACCAAAACGAGTCAGCACATCAGCCCATGCTAGTCTAGAACTGCATTCAATAAACCCAGGTAGTAACCAGGAAATGAAAATTAGAAATTACATTCTTGTGACCGTTCAATCGAGAAAACACTCTAAAGAAGTTAACCAAATTTTCCAATATGTTCAGATACATATCTGTCACGAAGTGAATACCATGCTGTGCAAACCCGAAAATGATAACACATTCAGCTATTTGACATCATGAAAAACATCATAGATTTATAGCCATCAAAACTACTTTGTACGTCCTTACTTTGTTTACTATAGTAGAGTAATTAAAAACTGAACATCGACAGGTCTGTACAAGTGGGCTGCACAGAACTCAGAAACAACGAACAATTCAAAGTCTGGCAACGTTTCGATAAAGCAAGCCCAAAACTTTTGATCGTCTCCACATCAAAATCAGCATTTACCCAGCCATTTTTTAATGCCAAAGACATACAAAGTCCCTATCCATTTCTAGACCTAATTTCAAACAAATCCTCAGAATCAGTAAGAAGATAAAGCTCACATTCTGCATTCTAAATGACATAGAAGTTCCACACTCAGGCATTTCCTAAACAGAGAAGCACAATGTATATCATATCAGGACTAATATGCGTCTCTCTTCTTCCGAAGAAGAAAACTCAGCAACCAAAAAGAAAATCTGAAACTACCCCCAAGAACCTATCTTTACAGGGTCAAAGATCCCACTTCAACGAAGCTAAATCAAGCGGAGAAGTCAGAACAACAATTACTTTTCTATCAAAGGTTTCTTCTTTATCATCCTCTCAAGCAATATGGTGAAGATTTGAATAAGTTGCACGCATATGTATGCAACATTTTCATCAATTTGGTCTCTAATCCCAAAATCAATGCTACCAAAAGCCAAATTCAAGAAACCCTTCAGTATAAACCACAGAATTCATCAAATAAAAACACAGAAAACGAATCCGCATGAGAACAACACGCCCACGAAAATGTTGGTGCAAACTCCAACAGAACTCATGCAAATAAACAGTAACATTACGCGAACCCAAGGATGATAATAAAGGGAACAAAATCCAGGATCCAGATAAGAGAAACAAAGACGGAATTACCTGAGCATAAATTAGGATCGAGAAATTATCCGATTGAAATGAGAAAGATTGATGCTTTCTGCCTTCATCCATTTCTGTGCGACTTTCTAATAAGGTTACAGAATTCAAGTAACGCTTTTCATACGTGCGGAATGTCAAATGAAAATTGAAAACGAACACCCAAAATGGGTCAAGTTATGATGACTTGGAAGGCGGATATGGATCATGCCATAGTTTTGCGTTTGACAGAAATAATAGTGTTATCTTTTGATATGTACTAAATAGAGAGGCCGATATACATCATGTGGGAGTATTTGTAAGATAACTTCGATAGAATACCTTTTTCTCATTATGAACTAGTAATTTTTACTCCCTCCATCCCACAAAAATAGTCCACATTTAATTTTAATTTTGAATTTTGTATTATTTTTAGTACAAATTTGAAAGCCTAATGTGAATTATTTTTTCGGGAGGGAGGTAGTATTTTTTTTAATTTTTTAACATATTATACTATAAAATTAAGAAAATTTTCATCACAACCAACCATGATTGAAGTTTAAAACTTTGTTCGGTGTAACAATTTTCTCATTCGGCCATTAATTAGGAAGGATGGATCATGTGCAAATTGTTCACGGAGTGTTTGAATGAAAAGCATGTAGTTTTGTAATCACCTTTTGTCTATCTAACGAAACATGGGCTAATTCCCCGCTTTTTCTCCTCCAGTTTCCACATGCAGATCATCGAAATTCGGCACTTCAAAGCAGCTCAAAAATTTCCTCCGATTAATCCGGCTAAAATGGTACATGAATTGTACTGAAACATCCCAAACCCACAAAAGCAACAAAATTTGCACGACCCTTCTGTAATGAAACTCAATGATAACCTTGAGAGCATACGCTCCAAGAAAATTCTTAAACTAATGAAGGTAGGTATCATCTATGACGGTCTTTTTTTCCCGATCAGAAGGGTAATGCAGCATAACTCTGGTGGGAATTAACATTTCACCCTCTAGAGGAATCAACTATAGCTGCGGGATACAAATGTTGTTAGGATCCTACATTGTAATCTTTTCTGAGTATTCAGGGTCTGGTTAGGGCACCCTTAAAGAATAAGATTCCTAATCCACTGATCGCCAATGTCGCTATAACAGAAACTCCAACCAAATCACTATAGACTGTTTCGCTTTTCCTTATAAGCTTAGCTGAATTGCACCTTTCGGCAGTGTTCTCACGGAGAAGGCTGTTGAGGTTGTCCAATTGATGCATGATTTGACGCTGCCCCCTGGAAATGTTGGATATCTGACAGGTTTGAATGACAATGGTTAATTATACGCTAAAGCGATCTCCGATGCATGTAGAATACATAATACGCTTTATATAAGATGAGTTCTCTCTGGTTTCCTGCTAAGACATGTATCTAAGTGGGTTCTCTCTGGTTTCCTGCTAAGACATGTATCTAAGTGCAAAAGAAGCAAATGGACATCAACTCTTTAAGAAGAGCAGACACAAAATAAGAAAGAATCGGTTATACCCCCATAAGTGTCGCCAGCTACAATTCTTTACGAGGATAACAAATCTAATCAAAGAATAATCTTGGCAACCAAGCAGCAGTAAGTAAAATTGTTCTTTGCTGGTCACTCAGCAGTAAGCAATATCTGCACCCATATGAAGACAAAACTTGCTAAGATGGGACTTTTAAGCATACCTCGTCAGCAAGCGGAGAGTCCTTTGCTAATAGCGATGCTGATGAGGAACTTGGCATTATGTTTCCAGTTAGTGAGCCATTCTCTAAACCGGAAATGAAGTAAGAAGTTGGTGCAGACCCTTGGCTGGGTTCAGCTTGTACAGCCAAATTTTGTGACCGGGGAGATGACCTTTTGCTGGTTAACCTAGAATTAAGTTCTTCAATTTGAGAAGTAAAGTCATCCATCCGAGAATTTAATGTAGAAATTTGTTCTGATAACTGAGTGATGACTCCCTATACAAGAAACAGGACAAGTAAGAAGATCCCCGTAATAAGAAATACATAAGCATGGGCCTCTACAGTGCCAACCCAAACGAAAAAAGGGAACAACTTCACTTGGATCAGAAACACATGTATGAATACCTGGTTAGCTAATGATGCCAGCGGATCTGCTGTCCTATCATCAAAAGTTTGGTTATTTGAGGAAAATCCATTAAGCTTGGGAAAAGTTCTGTCCCGGTGTGTTGAATATGAATGTGACATGCCCCTGGACACACCAAATTTGCAAATAACATTTTAGAAAATTGATTTATACTACTGTACATGTAGTGTATATATCTAGCATCTCATAACATATCCCAGCGACAAAAGATATGTTTGAAAAACAAGAACCCAAATATCATTCAGAAAATTAAAGTAGGATATGAATCTGAAGCAACTCAATCTTTCAAAAGTGGAGTAACGCAATCAACCTCTTAAGATTTTTATTCCTCTGTGCAACCCTTTCTGCTGATACTCGAGATAATGCTTCCTTAGGGCTGGAAGCAATGTCTTCATCTATGCTCAGCTTTGTTCTTAAATCGTCTGGTAGTGCCTGTAAAACGCTAGGGTTACAAACAAGGGAAAATAACGCTACCAGACATTATAGAAAATGTCTTACCATAATGTCATTCACAAGCTTCTCCAGTTGTATTTGTTCGATGTATGTACGTGGGGCATAAGAACCTTCCAAACCAAGCTGTTCCGCCACACTTTTTACAATAGCGCGATCTCTTCCTTGCACCTTTTAAAATAGAAAATAGATGAAGTTAACAGAAGAAATTTTACCTCATGAAATTTAGGAAAAACAGATCACGAAGTTAACAGAAGAAGTATGTACCATGAAGCTTTAAGTCAAAATCGCTCATCGGAAATACGATAAGAAGAGCAGAATATGTTGGAAAATCTAAACAGAAAACCGATATTGATTTTTAAAGCGGGACTAGGAAGCTTGTCAACATTTGCAGCAAGACCCTCCCAATGGTAACTTAAATCTTTTATTTATTTTGTTTAATCCTTTCCAAGGGCAAAACATCTCACATCAATGGACGTGGAATGATGTATTTGGTGAAATAATAATCATCATAGTTCTTGTGTCATCTTCAGGTGAAGAATAACAAAAGCTTCCCCTCTAATGACTGGATTGCCAATGAGGATGACTCTACCAGCAACCACAGAAACTTCCCACTTTTCTAAACATTTACATACAAGAGGTGTGCTGTTCGCTAATTTGCCTAAGAATCAAGTAGGAATAAAATCAGAACTGGTGTGACCAGGAACGACTTCCTTTCCACTTTTTTTCCTAAAGTAACAGATTTGTAAAATGGGCATGTACATTAGACACTATCCATTTGCTAGCCATTTTGATTTTTGAAGCACCTTACTGCTTAATCTTAAATAAACATTGATAAAATACACATATTGAGTCGATGAATAGAATAACACCAGAAAACTTCATCAAAAATCAATTGCAAACAAGAGGTGGAAAGGTCCACTACCTGAACATATTCACGGTTCAGTTGCTCCAGCCAATCAATTTTCACACAGACCTTCTCATCCCATAATACCTGACTGGTTCTTTTAAGTATTGCTGCTATCGTGTAACCCAATGCCATCAAGCCTCCAAGAAGCCGCACACTAACTTCAAAGGTTATTCTTGGTGATATCACAAATGGAGGATCTGTCACCCATTCCTGTTATTCAGCAGCAAAATGAAGTTCTCAATCTGCAAACATTGGTACCTAAAAGAATATGCTGCCAACTTCATGAAAGAACAACTGGACATCAAAGTGCAAGAAATGCTGCAATTAGCATAAAAAACAACTAATCCTACATTGTAGACAACCTCTTATAACACTATAATACAATCTTACAAGCTTCAATGATTTTCATAAACTTCAAGAGACTATTGGAAAAATTCATCTGTCTTTAACCAAAAAAATATGCATCTGTGGTTCGTGATTCACTTTCCTAGAGGACTAAATGTTATGTAAGCCAAATAACCCAGGTGTTTTCAAGACTATAATCAGGAAGAACCTCATTTGAACAGAAACTACTCATATACTTCTCCACCATATACAGCTTTCTTACAGTTAGCTTTACCAGAGTGGTGGTACAGAATCTCCATTCAAAAGCTCTAACCTCAATAGAGATCTTAAAAGTGAATATTTTAACCACAATTGACAATACTAAAACCAGCTATGTACCTGAACTAAACAAATCTTTTGTCAGACTAGATACTTTTGCCCCATAAACAAGAAAGTAAAGCATTAAACGGGGAAAACCTCAAACATAAGGTTGTATTTCCCATCTTTATTCCGCATCCTCAGGTATGATTTGCATGTCTCTGGATCCTCGCCAGGAGGTAGAAGATATATATCATAAGTCTGCTCATTTGTTTCCACATGCTCTTCAGACAGGACAGGCTTGACTTGATCCACGGTCAAATTCCTAGAAGACTGAAATGCAAAGAGTAGGTACTTTTAGACAACTTATCACCCAAGAGTCTCATCATCTCAAAACTATTACCAGGCACTTTCTTCCCATGGTTCATTTGTTATTTTCTTATTCTGAGAATAACATGCCAGAACACAAAAGTACCCATGCCAGAACACAAAAGTACCTTTAAAATATAAGTAGGACTCTGAAACCCAGTGAATGGATTAAACTTGTTGATGATTTTTATATGAGCAGTCTGGAGATCAGGCTCAATAAAAGCCTTGTACATCGGGTAGACCTGTCAGTAAGGTGAAAACATAAGCTCCTAGAATGGAATTTTTTTCCCTTCATAGTTTATACACATATGAAAAAACAACGAACCGTTTCAGAGATTTGGTGGATTATTTCTTCAGGCTCTTGTCCTGCCCGTTGGATATCCCTTAATACCCGTTTCACAAGGTCAAAATGAACTCCTCCCGTAACAGATACTCGTAGATCCAAGACAGGACGCAGTTTCTCACTTAGAGCATAGATGCCCTCAATTATCACAATGCGTGAGCTTGGAACATCAAGAGTCCTGCCTCAAGAAAGTTATGATGATATTAGAAATAACGAACCAGTGATTCAGAAAGGAAAAACAGAAAAACACATCAAGAATCCTGCCTCGAGAAAGTTTAAATGATATTAGAATAATGAACCAGCGATTCGGCGAGGAAAAAGGAAATATCACATATATGCATACAGTTCAGCAAAAATTGCAAATAAAATCGAATTTTGAACAATTTCCAAAAATATATATATATATATATATATATATATATATATATATATACTGTATCACATGGCATATCATCTGAGGGGCAGGGTACAAAGAGAAAAAAAAGTTCCACAAAATTATAGCTTATATACAGGGACATGCTTAGTTGAACTTCAAGGCAGCATCAAACAGGATATCACAAATATAATTATAAATAATAAAATTGTCTTTAAAATAACCAGCAGAAATAGTAGAGCAAGTTGAAAACATGGAGCTTCCACGGAGAAATCTTAAGTCCTGCAGAGTTCAGAAGCAAGTAGCAAACCTGTATCCCGAACGGGTGCTGGATTTGAAATCATAAATGGGAATCTCGACCTGCTTCCCGGATTTAAGGTCTTCGATGTTAGCAAGCAATGTATCATAGTCAGTCAATCGCGGATCTGTTCCCAAAAGACGAAATACAAGTTACCCATCTTGGATCAAGTAAGCTTTTTCACCAAGAAAAGTACGTTCAAAATATGAAATCAGGCCTGAAAGAAGCTTCAAATGAAGGAACAGATGTACAGGAAATCAACAATGATGACTCAAAGGTGTTCCGTATATCGATCAGGAAGTAAGTTTATGAGGACAAGTGCAGAATGCTTTTCGACGATTGCTTAACGGAGAGCACCAAATGGATTTTACTATTTACAATCAAACAAGTATATCTGTTACAACCGAACCAAGGATTTCTTTAGTTACAAACTTACGCATTAAATGAACTAGTAACAAGCAAGAATCTCCTCTTACCATCATAGTTTCCATCGATTATTCGACTGGCATCATTGTAATTATCCATTGAAATGACAGCAACACTGGGCATGAAGTTGAGAATTTTCTCAGTAAAGACAGTTTTCCCGGCGCCTGAAGGACCAGCCACTCCTACAATGAGTAGCCCCTCATTCTTTTGTACCAACAACTGACACGCCCGGATCACAGCAAAGAAGCCTTTCTCAAACGATAATGGATTAGCTATACGGTAAATCTCATAACGATCAGAATCTTTTCTCTTTACTAACTGAACTTGATCTTTCAAAAGGGCAGGTCTTTTGTGTGTTGCCTCAGATCGAGAACTATCTTGAGACATAGGTATTTTCCTCTGGAAAAAGAACAGCAAATCAGGCATTTGAAGGAATGTTAAAAGAAGGCTAGCAAGATCAAGCAATATTAACATTGGACCAGCATTCCCATAAAAAATTAAGGGACCTGAATGAAAGTTACCACCTCAACCGTCAGCAAGATAATGCCCTCTACTTACTCAATCATTCAGAACATTGTAATAAATGATCTAAGCAGATGACTAATGGTCATGACTACTATGAGACAACAGTATCTAAGCATTTAGCTGCAGTATAAACGATCTTAATTACATGAAAACGTTTTCTTCAGAAAGCCAAAAACATTAACATGGCCCAACTTTAAATAATAACTCCTCTGGACAAACAAATCAAAAAGGACATCCAATAATTTAAGATCCCAAATATAACAGGACAACAGCACAGATGACAAAGGAATGTAACAACTCAGTCATTAAGAACATATAGGAACTCTTATAATTCAAATAGAACAAAAGTTAATAAAAATTGCTGTGAATTTGAACAGGTCCAAATGCATCAGTAACCGACCCGAATTCTGCAAGTGAATTTTTAGATACTAATCAAAGCATGCAATAGTGCCATAGCGCCAGAATAACAGAAACTACCATATTGAAACTAACACTCTAGATTACTATTCTTGCAGCAAAACTAATGCAGTTACAAAGAATGCACTATATTAACAGCTAAAATAAGGATCAAAGATCTCAAATTCACCCTCCAAAAACGAGAAATTCAGCAAAAACTACATCACCTGGACTAGAATAACAGCAACCTTGAAACGGCGATCACCACGGCCAGATTACAATCACGATAAAAAAAAAATCCCAATTGAGAGAAACTCAGCAAAAGAATGCAATTACAGTCAAAAAGAGAAGAGGCAGAAAAAAGGGACCTAAAAGGATGAAAAACACGTACTTGATGATTGTACGGATCTATCGAGTAGCACTAGCAAACAAAACTAAACCGACTTCGTGCGGTAAACAACAAAAGAAAAAGAAAAGAAAAACAATGGATGAAACGGCACCACCCCATAACAAAATTTAAATAATGGAGAAAAGCCCAGAAGATATTTTGGATCAAAACCACCAAAAAATTGACATAAATGGTTAGAAATAGTCATTATTCAAATTCAATGATGATGATGATGAAATACTGACCTGTGCTCTGTGAAGGCACAGTTGGGAAGAGATTCTGCAACAAAAGGCTTCTTATTAGAAAACCAAGTGCTTCTTCTTCATCTTTATGGGGCGCCGCGACTGTTTCCGTATTTATAGGTGTCAGCATTTTTTTTAATAATTAATTTCTTAGTCCTTTTTTTAATTTAATTGTGTGTATTTATTTTGTCTTGTCCAAAGTTTTATGAAAAATCGGAATGAAGGGAATGTGGATTTCTAGGATTTTTTGGGGAAAACCGGAAATGGGAGTTCTGCAGAAATTGCCACGAGTTTTGCTACTCTTTCTTCGTGGCTCAATAAATAATGAATGTGACCAAAACCCAAAAAGAAAATAATATCTGCGTTTACTCCTCCTAAGTCTTGAATACTGTATTAATTACGAGATCGATGTTCGAATTTAGTTGGGATTATGTCACGATTGTGATGATAATTAGGGGGTCTAATTCGTGAAATTGTAAAACATAGGGTACGTTATCGGTATCATGATGTTCATTTGACGTATACAAAAATTTGAAATTAACATTGGTCGTGTCTAATTATTAGAATATGAAATTCAGAATACAAGATTTTGTGAATTCTACGTTCCTATACTGAAAACAAGGTTGATTATCTTCCTATTTAGTGTAATGTATTTCTCATTGACAAATATGCAACCTTTTTTTTTCTTTTTGAAAAAAGACAAATATGCAACTATATATAGTTAATGATCACATTTGATTTTCCCTTGAAACAAAAGTATTTTGTTTATTGTTAGGGAAAATTTAAATTTGACACTTTTTCTTTAGGTTTCAGAAAAAGAAAACTAAATAACAAATACCTAATATGACCACATTAGTCTAAGTCCTAACTAACGTAGAAATCCAATTGTAACTAAATTATGACACATTTATCGCCAAGCAAATTACACAATGATGCATTTTTTCAAATTTTAACAAGTAGCCTACCCAAAATAGATTGTGTTTTGTGCCTTTATGTAGGTAACTCTAACATTCTCTAGTGCTAGCCCGTAATGATTTTGTTGGTTATCCTTTTCCTCCCCATTTTATGTCATAAAATGTTCCCCTCTCATTTATAACTTCGATTGCATAATTATTTGTGCAAAAAACAATTTACAAATATTTTAATAGATATAATAAATTTTAACCGTCTATATTTATATCTTTTAGTTTTAAGAGTTTATCCATTTAAATGATAGTCACGGTTCAGTCATACTATTCCTTCTAAATTTTATTGTCAAATTTTCCCTGTATACGTCATCACTCATTTTGATTCTTAAGGGGAATCATCATTTAAAAGACCAAGAAAATGCGATGAATTTCACAAATTTAATAAGTATTGAATTTCAAATCTTCCACCACTAAAATTTAATTACTAGAATGAAATCGCTGATCAAATCACCGTACATTTCCTTCTACGTCTCATACGGCGCAAAATGATCATTAGATTCTTCGAACTTGATTCTTCTTGGAGGATTGAGTGGCTTTCTTCTCTGCATACGTTTAAAAAGAACAAAAGTGCAAATGGGGAGCGTGAACAAAAATCACAGCAAGGAATCTGAAACCACATCATAACCTCATATAAGAAAGGAAGAAACTAGGTCTATTCAGACATTTTAAGGATAAAAAAATTCGTACGATTTTATATAATCAAAATGACATTATGACAGGCAAGCTTTTGACTTGATTCTTCAAAGTTTGGTGGGAAAATAGCGTGCTGCATGGTGCATGCCATGATTCTAAATTCATTGTAAGGAAATCTTTCTAAAACCCGACATTTAAAAAAAAAATAAAATTTACACACAAGTTGAAGTTTTGAAAAATAACGGACGAGTGTTGGGTATATTATATTTACATATAATGTTTTAATTTGACAAAATCTGTTGGGATAAAGAATCCAACATCGTAATTGTGAAGGATCTATCATCTGTTTATAAGCTTTTTGAGCCATTTCACTTATTGTCAGTTAGTTTTGACTTTTGAGATAGAACCATACGCAAATTTATAATTTTTATGGGTTTTCAAGAAAATTCGGTGTGAATATGTGATAAATAATTCATAATTTTTTTGAAAAAACAATCTCTATTAATTAACACGATTATCAATACACAAAAATCGGGGTTTGTATGTGTTTTTATTCATGCACAATGCCCGACAACTATTATTATTATTATTATTATTATTATTATTATTATAATATATATATATATATATATATATATATATAGACCAATCTCTTCTCAAGAGGTGGAAATGTTTCAACCGGACTAGTTTTTCTTGTTTATTTTTTTTTCTCGATTTATGCTGAAACCAAAACTTTTTTTAATTTGTTACATTTTATTTCTTATGCAACACTAGTAAAATATTGCATCTTACACAGTCACACTTATTTCTTTTTACTTTTAATAAAAATATATCAATGACAATTACCTATTATATTTTTTTTAAATCAATTTCAAAATTTTGTATAAGATCATATTTTTTAATTAGGGGAAAAAATATATATTACAGTTGAATACTAGAGTTTCAATCATTAATATTTCTTTAATACATGTACAATTTTTGATGCGTAAGATTTTAGAAAAATAGAGGTGGAATTTGTCAATTTAATTTGAAATAGAGACCTCTTCTTAGAAACTTCATGACAGGAAGGCAACAAAGTATTGAAATGAAAAAGGTCGGATTTGCACGTAATAATGCTTTTCAAAACGGCAAGGGGCTAGAAAGTGCATTCTGGATTATGCCAACAAATGGCAAAACCTTTGTGGGTAAAAGAGCCAATGAAATGGAATTGCTTGATGCTGAATGTTTACGGGGAGGCCAAGCCAACAATAGAGTAACACATCAATATCACACTACGATTTTGACTTTGATAAAGAATATCATTAAAATAGGACTTTCAAAACATTCCATCACAACAATCTTTATATGTGTTCGGTCTCCCCCTTTCTCAACAACCATAGTGTAATTTCCTTAGAATTATAGATATTGGCCACGTATAATCCTCTTGATTTGACACATGCACCAATTGGTGGTTTGAATGGAAAAGTCCGTATCAAAATAGTCGAAATATTCCAGAAAAAAATACTTCCTCTGTCCTAAAATTATTGTTCATTACTACAGTATTAAAATAATTTTAAGACAGAAGGAGTACTACAGTACTAGAATGCATGAGAAACTTGGAAATGGCATTTGCTAAGTCAATACGATGAGGCATTTGAAAGCTCTCGTTCTTTGATATAGAGTTAAATAGTTCGTTACTTTGTCCGAGGTTATTTACGTTATTATTTTATCGATTCAATTTTGAAAAAACAATGAATAAAGTAACGAATTAAGAAACACTCATTTTTATAAAGTCTATTTATCTTCTTTTATTTTTATCCCGAAAAAAATAAAAATTACCTATATGAAATCTTCTCACCAACTTTTCACTATAGGTTAAAAATGAAGACATGAAGAGCCACACACACAGTGCATGAAATGTAGAGAAAGCTAATTGGGCCGACTAGTTGGACTAGAGATAAGATTCAAACAACATTGTACGTGTTGTAGATGGATTAGAAGGCCTATCGATCAATCAACTCCGGGCTGATGTATCACAAATGACCCACATGTTTGGGCTCAGTGACCCACACACAGTTTCTTCATCTCTTTCCCGTCTTCGCCCTCTTCGGTCCTTCCGACATACTATTTTCTGTCGTCTGTCTTTTCCTCTCTCACCACTTTCAGCCGACACCGGCAAAACAAAAGCTACCCAGCATTTCGTATTTCTTTCATTTCTGCTGTGTTGGACTTTTCAGTTCCCTTCTGAAGCTTCCAGCTCAGACTGAAGACATTTTTCACAGTTGACTTCTTGTTTGGGATGTTGTTGAATCAATCAATGTTTGTGTGGTGACAGAAGATTACTAATTACAGTCATCCTCTCCGATTCTTCGATTTCGTTCTTGGTTTTGTTTGAGTATTGATATTGTTATTACTTTGGAAACGCCTCCATTTTTGTCCTGTTTCTGAAAGGATTTTAATTGGAACCAAACCAAGAGTTTTTCTCTGTCCTAGCTCGCCGCAGCTGTTCCCAAATTCCTCTCCGGCGAATCTCAAAATCCGTTCCTCAATTATTTTGCTTCCGCACTCTTAGGGATGGAAAACCACGGTGGCGCCGCCGTCTCCCACGACTCATTTTCGTCGTCTTTCAGCAAATTTAATACCGCACTTACCGCCGGACTTCTTAACCCAATGTCGCCGCCGCCGACGGTCGATAAAACCCGTTCCAGCCCGACCCTTTTCGAAATGATGGCTAGCGAACCCGATAGCCTACCTAGAGCCACTCCAATGACAACCCACCAGATCCAAAATGGCGTCGCCTCAACTATCCCTAATCAGAAACCTCTTGATAAACAAGCCGTAATGCAGCAGCGCCTAATGGATCTTTTATCCTGTCGGAGCCCCGGGAACCAATTTAACGACTCGGGTTCGGGTGATGTTAAGCTAACTCTGAGCTCGAAAGATGGTTTGAGTGTTACAATGAGTGTTCATAGGCAGATCCTTGTAGTTCACAGTAGATTTTTTGCGGAGAAATTGTGCGAGAAATGGGTTAAACAGCCAAGGAATGTGGGCCCTTATGTGGTGGAGATTGCTGATTGTGATGATATTGAAGTTTATATAGAGACTTTGAAATTGATGTATTGTAAAGATTTGAGGAAGAGACTTATGAAGGAGGAAGTCTCCCGAGTCCTTGGAATCTTAAAGGTAGCATTTTTATCATCTTTTAGTTTTGGGTACTTTTTCTTCCCCCTGTTCTGAGTTTGTAAATTTTTAAATTATGTGTGCTTGATTGATTGATGTTCTAGTGTTTTACTGTGGGTCTAGGACTAAAAGAACTGAGAATGATATTATTAGTCACTTTATGCATCACTTTCTTTAGGTAAGATGTTAGTTGAAAAGTGAAACAGGGAACTCTGTAGCCTGTCTCCAATGGTTGGTATGGTGTAATACTTCTGATCATCCGTACTTTTGGATATAGTTCAACAGTTTCACGTACTCAGTGAACATTTTGAATTTGTATTTTTTGTAACGAATCACATTGATTGGGTGTTCTCGTGTTGATTGTTTATTAATTAGTTACAATTTGTTTGTGTAGGTTTCTGCAGCTATTGGATTCGATGCTGGTGTCTTATCTTGTTTAGAGTTCTTAGAGGCGGCTCCATGGGCTGAGGATGAAGAGGAGAAAGTGGCTGCATTGTTATCAGAATTACGTCTTGAAGGTGTTGGAGCTGGGGAAGTTTTAAAGAGGGTTTCTCTTGATATCACTGGAGGAACACAGGAGGGGAAAGATAATGAAGAAGTACTTCTTAAGCTGATACAGGTAGTTCTCCAAGGAAAAGATGAGAAGGCCAGGCGCGAGATGAAAGTTTTAGTGTCAAAAATGTTACGAGAGAATTCTGCTCATAGTGATTTGAGGAAGGAGTCGCTATACTCAGCTAGCGAAGAGTGTTTGAAGTCTCTGCGCCACACTTTTTTAAAGGCAGCAGAGGCGGATAGGAAGGATGTCTCCAAGATTGCACACCAGGCTGATAATTTGCATTGGATTTTGGATATAATGATTGACAGACAGATTGCTGAAGATTTTCTCAAGGCTTGGGCATCTGAATCTGAACTAGCTAAAGCACATTCAAAAGTTCCTGCCATTCATCGGTACGAGATTAGCAGGGTTACTGCTAGGCTGTTTGTTGGGATTGGGAAGGGGCAATTACTCGCATCTAAGGATGCAAGATGCTTACTTTTGCGAACCTGGTTAACCCCATTTTATGACGATTTCGGTTGGATGAGGAGAGCATCTAAAGGGCTGGACCGCCACTTAATTGAAGAAGGGCTGTGTAATACTATCTTAACTCTGCCTTTGGCCTGGCAGCAAGAAATTTTTATGTCTTGGTTCGATCGCTTCCTGAATTCTGGAGAAGATTGTCCAAATATCCGACGGGGTTTTGAAGTTTGGTGGAGGAGAGCTTTTTGGAGGCGAAGTGATGAGCCTGAGCGGCCTCGCCAAATGCGTATTGTAAATGCTACAGTTGAGAATTCGTGAGACTTGCCTCTCTGATATGAGGGGCTTATTCTCACAAGTTATTGTCAACAGTTATTTTCAAGGCAGCAGTTCTCTTCTCCTTGGGTCTCCTTTGAAGGTCAGGTGTTTGATCATTATTTTGCAAGATTCTTAGAGCATGCATATTTTAATCCACTGCCAACAAAGAGTTTTTTCTGATGAGTTTAATGAAATTTCTCACAGAAATTATATTAACTGGCCAATAGTTGATTAATTATACTCCTTCAATCCCAACAAACAAGGACAATTATTTCATTACGGTACAGAGGGAGTAAGCAAGCAAAAAAAGGATGATTCAACATAAGCCATTCACTACATGGTGGTGCTACAAAACAATGATAGTATTTTGCTTTCACAACAAATCATGTCTTATGTTTATCATAAGATTGTCACAGAATGAATAGAAAATAGAAACTCATCAATGATTTGAACATTTGCAGAGGCTTCTCTGACCGGAATTCTGTAATCTTAACCCAAAATCTAACTCTTCATTACATATTATGTATTCACAAATCTGCAATTCCTCCTAACTTCTCCATCAACAAAAGTGTCAGGTTCTGTAATGTTTCCCAGTTTCACCATGGATTCCGCGAATTGCTCGAAGAAAGCAACTTGATCCTCTGCATATTTTTTGACAAGTTTTCTGGTTTGTAAAGCAAAAGCACTTGTATAAAGCTCCTGGTCTGAATTAATCAATCCTTCCCCTCGTAACAGTATATGATAAAATGAATTATCAAAGAGATTAGGGGTCAAATAATCCATTGCTGCCTCCTTGTTGTCTTCTCCAACTGGAGGGCATTGAGATTTCAAGGTTTTGAGATAATTCATAGAAAGTGGATCCACTGCAGTTGTGACTGGAAAATCTCCATATATTCTGTCTCTGAAATTGACGCACCTTGCCATTCCAATTGTGTGTGCACCTACCAAAAACCATTGCAAAACCCTATCAGTAAACTCAGGAGTCGTAGAACAAATTAGTGTTTGTAAAGATGTCTTGCAAAATTGATCATTTATATGAATGTACCAACTTTTATTAGCGTAAATGCGCGTAAAGCTGCGAATGATGATCAGCATAGAGCTTACCAGAGAGAGCCACCATATCAGTGACTGAAAGTCCCTGATAAATGAACTTGGAAATGATGGAGAGAAGACCATCATTTGCGGTTGGAAGATTTGTATTTGAGAGCTCATAGCCTACTGTTCTTGAGTCTTTCCTACCCAGTGGCACATCCCAATAAGGTCCGCCAACCTGAACAAAATAAAGAAACTGGCTTCATATAGTAGTGATTCTGTCAAAACCACTTAGGCTATTAGCATTTTTTGATTTAATAATGATGTACAGTACATGCATGCAATTAGATGCAAATTTTTTATGTTCAACTCTGCTATACTTACCAGAAGAACTGCATCTCTGGCTGCAACAGTGAGAATATCAGCGCAAGATACAATTCCAGGGCACTCCGATTCCAATAGATTCTTGATCCGGTCTAAGATTCTGAATCCCTTTAAAGCATCCTTGTTGTTTGGCGCCTTTTTCTCTCCTTGTAATGTGATGGTATCATCCAGTAAAACTGATCCATCACAACCCTGATAAAGTACATGAAATTTACCAACTCTGTTATTATTGAAACTTTAATCCAGTCAAGTAAACAAAGAGAAGAAGCAGGTTTTTTATTCGGTGAGGCTGACCTGAACGAAGCAATCATGGAAATGTAACCTTAAAATCAACGCGGCATTACGAGGATCAGAGAGAACAGCACATTCCATTTCTCTCCTGACAATTTCAAGCACAGTTGGGCATGTCTTCTTGTAGTAATCCAAACTCAAAGGCGGATCGCTTACATACACGGAAGATGAGCAACTGAAGTAGAAAGCTGATAGAAGTACTAGAATCAAGCAATGGTGCACAAACCCAAATCTTGATTCGTGTAAAGACGCCATCTTTTTTCCTTTTTTGGTTGCTTCACAATATCACATTTACTTTTGTAGGGTGGGAGTTGAGACTGGTCAGTTATATACAGGTTAGAAGTTTTAAGGATTTTGCATGTGAATTTGATTTAGTCAAGGTTTTCTTTTTGAGTGAAAGTTAAATGATGAGAGTTTTTTCATAGTCAAGAGAGGATGTAACTAATATTGGTCCGGTTGGTAAGATACTCCAAAAACTTTTTAAGAAATGAAGAAATATTTGCAATTTCTTTAGGGCAATTTGCTCAAGTTTCAGTTCCAGATTTTCTACGAAACTGAACATTTTTGGACAGCTTCTTACCTTTAACTTGTTGTGTACAGAAAAAAGAGCTAAATTCTCAACTGCTTGAAGACAAAAAACTTTTTTGTTGGATGGCCTAAGTAAAACTATGAATCTGATGGCAAGTGATTTACAGCTTAACAAAACTAAGGGTCCAAATGACATGGTTTTCTACTTTCTGTTAAACATAGCAAAATATTTTATTGTGATGACTAAGAGAGCTCGAGAAAGTTTGTTTTTTAACCATGAAATAACTTCTTGATCAAGTAAACTTACTTGTCACATTGTCACCTGTCGACAGATTGCTTATGATTTATGATGATAGGATTCTATGTTATGTTAATACTAAAGAACAAGGAATTTACAAAAAGAAAACAAGAAAAGAGAAGAAGTCTCTAATTTCTTAAAACCCTACATTTTCTTCCTTTTAAGTGAAAGTCAATGAAGATGTTATAAATAAGAATAAATGGATTTAGGCTTCAACCAGTACTTTCTCTACGGCAAAATGTTTGTCCTGCAATAGGTAAAGCACAATACTCAAACGCAAACATGCAGGAAAAGGGATCGATTTAGAATTAGTCAGACTGTAACAATGTCTTCATAAAGAAGATACAAAAGAGGAACTGCCTAAAAGGGCGATGAAAATGACATCTTGCCACAAAAAGGAACCAAGTGTTTCTCATGTATACAATTCAGAATCAAAAACTTTATCTCGAGAAGAATCATCCTCAATTGGGATACTTGTAAGGTCCAATCCAGGCAAGGCCTTCTGCAGTATAGATTTAACCAGTAGTTTAGATGAAATGCCGAATTCAGGCCATGAAAGACAGAGGGTCCCTTTAATCTTCCTCAGCTGACACTGAGCCAAAAGTGCAGCAGATAAGCCGTCGACCATGCTTCCAGAAGGAAAGTAATCCAAACCAGTTACTAGGTGTGAATCGTCGCTGTTGATTCTTTCATAGGAAGTCTCCAGCTTGAATGCCAAATCATCATCCCTTGAAAGTTTACCTCGGAAATGACTACTCTGAATAGAATCCAATATTAGAACCCTTTCTGGAATGATTTGACCACCAACCAACAATTTGGCCACATCATGGGATCTCTCTGGTGTAACGGGGTACTGAACAGACACTATTAGAATGGACTCATCAGCATTTTTGAGGGTATATATGTTGCAGGATTTGTCTTTGAGTGAGGGTTCAGTGGAATTCCCGGAGAAAGGAATCTCAGGGAGGATCAGAGTTCCAATTTGGAATTTGGAGGGCAAATGATGTAGTACGTAAACAGAAGGGGAGGACAATGCAATTACAAGGAGAGATGGGTGGAGGTTCTCACTGGACTTGGCTCTCGAGAACACCAGGAATGGTGAGGGAAGTGGAGGTGCTGGACGAGTAAAGATATTCAGATCTTCCAAGAGGAATCTTGAAGGCGGTGGAGCCTCCGTTATCACATCCTCCATTTTCCGTCAAGGCGTTCCACAAAATGCAAATAACTAATGTCAAAATTTGATTGTTAGGTTACAATGAATTTTAATGTGAAAAGAAAAATAGCTTACAAAAGGACTTGCTACCTATTTTACCAACAAAAAGAGTCAAGATTAAACATAGTTATCCATACGTGAGCTCTCCATGCTTACATCAAAATTTGTTGCAGATCTGAATTACCTTACTACATTAGGCATCAATTGCTAGGAACCTGATCAATATTTTCAACTCAACATCTCTTCCCCCACCCCAAACTTCATTCCCGACATATCAGATTGATAACAAACAATATTACTCTCACTAGTTCCCAGACTCTGCAGAAACAATAACCATCGATCACCTCCATGGTATGCAATCATGCTAGTTCCCTCAACCCCGTGAAATCCTTATACTGGATCTAAAATATCGATACCTAATTCTGGTATGCCATACTGTTTTTCTCTTGTGTGGAAAGCAAGGTGTAATTACACTGAAACTGTTTCATTTTCCGTCGTAGTGTTCAAAAAAGATATTATTTATAGAATCATATGAAAGCTTCATTTTTGTAATAATTTAAACGATATGTGGGAAATTCATTTTCAAGCCCACTACCCAACACCTACAAAGGCCTGATTGAATGCATATCTCAAATAACTACATAATGAGAAATTCTCTGATAATAATTTGGAAGCTGCAGGCCTATAACTGGATTATAAATCCTGGGATTCAAATGAAAACAACGTAGATGGTTTAATTCTTCAGGTTGGACCTAAAATATTCTGGACTAATAATCGCAGTGCAATTTTATGGAACACAACGCTATATGGTTTCCTAGGCACACGCAGTCTCATAGCTTTTTTCATACATATTAAACAGAAACAATTGACTTACAGAGTTTAAATTGATGTCTTCTCTCGGTACATACATGTAAAACGCTTAAACTATCAACCAAAACACCACTGCCCGACAAAGAATACGCTCAACCAAATCAAAAATAGAACTGGGATTTCCACAAACAGCAAAGATAACTGTAGCAATTTTTTTCCGCTTACAGAAAAATATTAGCAATTTTCCCAATCTTAAACGGAGATCTTCCATAAACCTAACAAAAAAACGTTATCAGCTACCTAGCCTCACAAACAGAATTCTTGAAAAGAATGAGATTGATTAACAAATTCATACCCTAAAACCAGATAAAGCATATTCGCTCGACATGTAGGGTTTATACGTGCACACAAAACGGGCCAGGAGATCCGAAAATTGAAAGAACAATCACAGAATGGGAGAAGTAATGCTTTCGATTCGAATAGGGAAAGTGGTTTTCTTTGATGATTACCTACTGATCAAGGGGCCGGAGGACCGGTGACGGCGAACTTATGAAGAGACGGTTCCCTTTTTAGTTTTACTTTCAGTGACTCTGAGCCGAGTGAGAGAGGTAAGCTTAACAAAATGCTCCCGCTTTGACATAAAAGAGCGAATTATATCCACCTCCCCCAAAGTTTATATAACCTCTTTTTTGACCCTATGAGTTTCTAAACTAGCAGTACATCCCTCAACCTTTCAAACCTCAACATGTAACCTATACTATGCTTTTTCCATGGCAAAGACTAGTTATTTTGTTATTTTATACTCCCTTTGTTCCAAAATGACGAAATTAAATCTTGGTTAAATATCCCCAAAATGTAATTTTATGTTCCACCCTACTTCGTGGCATCTTAATGAGTTGGATGCAATAAGATTATTGGAAATATATAACAACAAATTTTAGTAATGTTTTGTTAGAATTTTTTTTTTAATTTCAAGATAAATAAAATTGAACTATCACTGAGCAATCGTTAAACCAGTCAAATAATTCTTTCCCTCCTTGAAAATGTGCTGGAAAATTGACTTTGCAAATGAACACGACCGAAACGAAATGTGCAAGGAAAATTGACTTATATATGTGCAATATCGTATTTTGCACCTCACTCAATATCATATTTGCAGCAATATTTGCGCAGGACCGCATTCCCAGATCTCATTGTTTTCTAGAAGTTTGGTCGAAGCAAATAACATAAGCTGCAGATCATTAAAGTCTCTGATGTTAACAATAGTAGGTGTCCAGAAATCACTCACAACCTGACTAATAGTAAATATTTTACCATTATGTATTGAAATCTCAAGTTTATCTACACCGTACTGCAGTGAAAAAAATGACATAAAAGAGAACCAAATTCGTAAGAAACTCTGTTTTTAGGGGTTTTCTTAGCATCATTTTGAACAATTTACCCCAAATGTCATTTGATGAGTGTTGCATCATGTCGTAACTAATATTTTCTATCACGGTATTAAGCAACTTAAACCCTTGATCAACCAAAGAAGGAGATAAAACCAGTTTGAAGACTGTACTGAGAACAATGCCGAACTTTACCGGTTTTACCATAATCTCACGCGCCACTTTCGAACAAAAGCTTGGAGCAGGCGAACAAGGGCCTGAACATGAGATTTCTTCCATTTACGACTCAACAGGGTCTGAAGAGAAGACTCATATTTCTTAATTTCAGATGTTACCTCCACAAGCTGAGTCAAAAGCTGAACCGTGTACAGTAGGAAGTTCAGGAATAGGCAGGCTTCAATTTCAGGAATGAACGAAGGGACCAAGTCGGAAGCTCCTCCTGTACGAGCAGCCAGGGATTCAAACAAATAATAATCAAATACCTGACTCCCCCACACCTAGATTTTGTTTGTCCTCAAGCAAACTTTAAAAAAAAATACGTTATAAATCAACTTACACTATACACCACTATACTTAGAACCACAATTTAGAAAATTTTGAAAACCACAATCTCAACTACCATTTCATATATCAATCATAAGAATAGTTGGTTAGACAATCAAACATAAACTCCTCCAATACCATGCATACTCAAGAAGATAGTCGCTTCATCCCTAAACTCCATTAATGATTGGAACAAAATCACCTCACAAGTAGGTTCATTCATTTTCATTTTTTTTCTCTCAACTGTTAGCGTACAAAACAACTCACACAAATCAATATCTAGCCGAATACTTAAGAATTTGAAAAGACATTACATCGTCATACACCAAGCAAATAAACTTACCAATAAAGGTCTTTAATAGGGTTGTAATGGGCTTTAGGTAAGGAAAAGGGTGGATACATATGGATGTAGGCTCATAAGTTTGTCAAGATAGACCATGTATACTTAAATTCCACCATCTTACCAGATATCCCATATAATGACATTGTTCATACTCACACCTCAAACTTCAAGTGTGCTTTGCATAAGAACTTGTAGTGAACTTCTCATATTGCATTTACAAACCCATGGCATCTCAAAGATATAATGAATAACATGCCATACTCTTGAACAAGTATCAAACAGGGATTCATATGTTTTTTTTTCTTTCTATTTTTTTTTTGTTCGGGTTTTTTTCTCGAATTTTTTCTTTTTTTTTTCTTTTTCTCGCATATCCTATATTACATCAAATGCATAACTTAAAACAAGAACACATGCCACCATAATGTCCAACTCTTACTACAAACCCAATTTAAGCAACCTAATCCAGAGCTTGACAAAAAGGTGAAAAGATAAAACAAAAGACTGATGGTTTAATATGTCTGGAGGTTAAGAAAAACGGTCAAGGCCTAAATGGTTCACCAGAGAAAAACATAAATGGGTAGGTTTTTTAAGCTAACTTGGTTGAATCCTGGTGCCTTTATTCTTGTGGCAAGCCATTTACAAGAGCACATATGTGTCCTACCTCAACAAATTCAAGATTAATCTATACTAGATATGATATGTTTCTCACATAAAAATATTGAGCATTCAAATACACTAACTATTTGCTCAGAAAGGCTCAGATCATTCAATTTAAAGTAACTTTTGTGTGATAATATTCCAATCATCAACTTCCACATTTAGATTCACAACATATCTGAGTAGTATATCGCAAAGAAAATTCATGATAGCAACATAACAGTTGAAACGTTTGAAAACAGTGGTTCAGACTCAAAATTTTTGATAACTTTTTGTAACTCTTTTAAGTAAGCAACTTAATGAAGACATAAGTAAAACACACAAAATCCTCCCCCACACCTAAAGCATACATTATCCTCAATGTATAAAACACGCAAGACAAGTAATAAAAGTGCATACAAACTCCCAAATAAAATTAAACGAGAAAAGAAACGATACTTCCATGGGAATTCATTGGAGGAATCAAAATTGGTGTGAAACGGGAGTAGAGGGCTTTGTTGCATTCGCATATGGTTGACCACGTAGAAGAATTCTCCTTGAAAACTAGTTGTCGCACTCAAACAAACCATTAAAACAATCTAAAACGGTTAAGAAAATCACGAAAATCAAGAAATCATAGATCAAAAGATCAACATGAACGAAAAACTTAACCACCCAATCAATTTATTCAAATAACAAATAACAAAAAGTAAATCATTGGTTGCCTCCCAACAAGCGCCTTTCTTTAGTGTCTTTGACTAGACACAACATGTATGTATCAAGGTGAAAACTTGAAAGCTCCACACACAATCAGAATTTGACAACATTCTGAATAAATCTCAAGAGATCAAGGTTATAGCATTCAAAATGATATTCAAGCATTACATCAATGAAAGAAGGTAGAACATAATCTCCTCTAAATGATTCTTGAAAAGCATCATACACTCTCCACACATAAACTCTAGTACATAACATTTGACTCACCATACCATCATCATGAAATTCTAAACTTACATCTTCTATCAACCCCAATTCCGGAGGTCTAAACAAATTTCCATATGCATGTTTTAGATGTATAGGTGTAGGTCTCAACTCAACTTTCGAAAGTTTCCACTTTTCAAAATTTTTAGGCACAAACTCAAAAGCACAACTGCCATTAAAATCAACTCGTGAAGTTCTCTCATCATTCAAATTCACATTTTCCCAACTTAAAGATTTAACTTCATTTATTAATTAAATTCTAGCAGTTTTCCGAAAAGCCTTCTAAAGAAAAGTGAACTTGATTTTCTTGCATAGTTTCCTTTCAAATCAATTACATCAAAAACATCATGCAAAACAATATAATCACTTCTTGCAAATGACTTCTCTACCACAGAAGTAGAAAATTCAAGAGATTTGTCAACAACCTTAACAACCACATTGGTTTTCGGTATAGGATTAGGTTACAAGAAATTAGATATAGCATGAGGCATGTTACTAAGACCAAATCTAAGATCTATCATAAACTCACTAAGTCTAACATGTTAAAGATAGCAAAATGTAGTGAATATACTTGAGATCTTGCATTTTAGAGGTAATTTCGAATCAAATGCATTGAAAATAGTGTTTTCCACCAAAATAACCTCATTACCTTGGAATGTAGATTCTAACTTCTTGGTGCAAAGGTCCACTATAGACTTACCATCAAGATTGTCTACAAAAGGAACATTAGTATCACCTTCGAAAGAAGTGTCTAAGGATTCTTGGTCACTCGCTACCTTGTATGGCTCCATTAATCTGTCTAAAAGAGACAAAAACATTTCAGAAGTAGGAAAAGTATAAAGAGAAATCACATCTTCTACAGATATATTTTCCAAGGCTTTTTCCATAGCTTCATCTGCCTCTGCAACTTCTAAACTTTCTGCATCTTATACATTTGTAACTTTTACTGGTGGAACGTCCTCTTTTGAACGAGTGTCCACATTCTCTGACTTAACCTCTTCTTCAGTTGGTTCTCTCTGTCTTACAAAAAAAGGATGATGTATCACAATCTTTGGTTTTTCCTTCTCGCTTTTCATGTTTTGCTCTCTTTAAGGTGCAACATATTTGATTTGATCTTCTTCCACCAAGATTATATATTATTTCACTGTAACATTATTCTCCACTGGATCTAGAATTTGAAATGTTTCCTCTAGTCTACTAATGTCTTTGGCCAGCTAAGACATTTGGTTCTCCAAATTCCGTATGCAAGCATTTGTTTGTTGCACACTAGCATTTGTCTTCTGTATGCTAGCTTGAAAATCATGCATACTAGTTGCTAAACTTTAACCAATTCTTCCAAAGACATTCTTGAATCTAGTGGTGGTGGTTGCGGTGGTGGTGGTGGTGGTAGTGGCGGGTGGTTGTAGTTGTAATTTGGGTTTTCTTGCCAACTTGGGTCGTGTGTGTATAAATGATGCTCGTAACCCATTTGTGGTGATCTCCAAAATCTTCCTACATTACTCACTTGTCTTCGCGGATAGTATTGAAAATTTGGACAATAGTTTACCATGTGATCGCTCATAGAACAAATCTCACAACTTTGCATCTGCTTGACAAAACTCATAAGAGAGGTTAAGTGATTTAGTTGTCGACTAATGGACAAACGTCCTACCTCATGTACATCCTGATAGCTATATGGATCATATCTATACAAATCCATGGTAAAGCTGAAATCTTTAATGCCTATATAATTCAAAATAGAGAAA